GCTCGGCAAATACGGTTTCAATGAAGTTTGATATATGATTGTATTTGCCTGTAATTTTCTAAACTCATTCTGTTTACTACTGTCTCAAGTCACGGGTTCGATATTCTTGTGATGTTTATATTGGCCTTGGAATTGCTACTCACATAATGTAGCTCATATTTGTCGACAAGAAAAAGAAAATTATTGGACATAAGTTGTTGTAAGTTGCACAATGTTAAAAGTGGCTAATTCAAACATCTCATATTGATCTATTGCTGAACTTAGGTCTCTTTCAAGTTGCACCACATTACTCTATCCTGCCTCTATCCATCCAGCCAATGCCAGGAATTCTCTCAAAAGAATATATCTCTAACAATTTAAATTCGCTACATAATTCAGTAATATTTGGTCACTACATTCATTAGGAACACCAAACTATAATATATAGACATGTTCTGATATACAGTAGTTTGTAAAGATCCTAGACTTATATGAGAACAGACTACGAACAACACTAGTTTAAAGGATAAGAAAACCTATTAATTATACTGAAAGTTTTTGAACAGGCCAAGGCCCACATACAATATATCCGAAAATTTAAACGCTTACAACTATCGTTTATTTGATAATCTTGCTGACCTGAGAGCCGCTTTGTCCTGTAAAGTTAATGATTTTAGAGTTGTACAAAAATCCTATAGAAAAAGGCACTTTTGGCTATTCCCTATTTTGCCGAAGTAAATTTTCAATTTTTCCCTAAAAACCCTAAACGAACTACAAACATTTTAAAAAAATAGCCAAATCGGTCCAATCGTTCTCAAATGATGCTCTTACTAAACAGCACTTCATTTTTATTATATAATACATTTTTATTATATACAGATAACAAAAAATATATCCATCAATATTTTTATCGCTTTAGTTATGTTTATATATATGGCATATAATTACCAGTAATGAGGTCATTTTTTGACCCGTAGATAACAAAGAAAAAAAGAAAATTTCTAGATATTGCCATAATGTGTTTATTATTATATAGGAAGTCATAGTTAAAGAAAAGTCACTAGGCATCAGAGTTCGAAACTATATATAATTATCATTGATAATTATGATGATATTTATCATGATAAGTGTAGGTTGATAATTCTCTTTGATAAATATAATCGAAAATATTTAATTTGCAACTCTTTAAATTGTCGATCAGCAAAAGAAAATCTCTCAATCAGTTCAAAAAACTCAAATCAACAAACTGAGAACTGAGGGTGAGGATGACACTCATACCACTCATTAATTTAATGAAATATGTAAAAAAATTTTTAGTTTATTCTGTTTTTGTGTCTATATCAAAATTATGAAAAAAATTAATAAAAACTAAGTGTATAATTTATTCTAACGTAAATTATGATAGGCAAGTAGTCAAATACCAATACCTAAACAAGGATTGCTAAGCTTATGTCTGTAACTATCTCGATAATTATCGAGACATATTATCTTGATAATTTCATTCCCTGCTAGGCATATATGTATACATGCTTCAATAAAAAATATATTATAAAAATAAAAAACCCGACTGCATAAAAGCTAACTATAAAGATGAAAACAAGTTCACCAAGGAATATAGTTATTATGCAGGCGGAGACATACATACGAGTGTACATCTCACAGCAAGGATGAAACGTGTAAGTCTCCGACTGCGACAACTAGATAATATATGTATATATTCATATATAAAAGTTGATGTCATCAAAAGTTTTGAGCTTTTCGCGTAGCTAGCAACATCCGACTTGACCCCTTTATTGAAAAATTACGCTCGCGACCCAATTGCATTTAGAAGATTAAACGCTGCACAGAATACGATATAGACCTACTCGTATGTAGTTTAGATAAACATTACAAATCAAGAGAGTTTTTATAACCATTATTTTAAGACAGACCTCCTCTCAATGCGAGAGGAAACAGAGTCCATCACACCACGCTGGCTAAATGCGAGTTGGCGGACTTCACATGGCTTTATAAACTTACTAGACATGCAGGTTTTTCTTCATCCTATTATTTCAATTTATTTATAGCTTATAATATAATTAATAATAGATGTTTACAAACAATCGTTACAGCAGAGTGAGGCAGGTCATGGTTATTGCACACTAAGCCTGTAGTTGCGAGTTCAATTTCCGCACATGGCAAATGTTTGTATAATATCATATAAACACTCCCAATAAATACTATAAAATGGCAAACTTTATTAAATACTTGTAATGAAAAAATTAAACTAAAGTTAACAAATGAAGAAAACAAGTGATTCTATGGTAACCAAGAGACGGGAGTAGAAGAAAGGGGCATCCAAAAAAAAGAGGAAAAGACGACATTCACCTAATCTTGGCGCCATACTGGACCAGAGTTGCAGAGGATAAAGCACAATGTTGAGTTGGAAGAGACCTTTACCAAAAGACACGCCGAACTGTGGGGCATCATATAGTATTCTTCATATATATTTTTTTATTTTTTAGTTTGTCCAACAATGTACCCAAAATTGGACAATAAATGACTTATTATTATTCTCAAAAGATCGTATTTCGTCTATCGTCTACGGGACGTCGCAACCAAAGAGAACTTTTCCTCCTTCTTATTCGACTCACTAACTCCTACAATATCAATGCTCATGAAGGTGTTAGAACATTTTATTTACTAAAACCTTTATGGCGAAATGGAGATGACAACAGCAGAACCGCATCCAAATTCGTTCAGTAGTTGTTCAGATTAGTGCATTTACTTCTTTTTATACATATTATGTAGGAATGTTAGTTATACTATTTCCTAGAAATCATAGTTTTATTAACATTATTATTAGAAGCAGTCACTGTCTTGCCAATAAACTATCTCTACACATAAAATCACGTGAATCTTAATAAATTTATCCCCTTGCTGCGTGAAAGCGCACTTGCCAGTGCAATATTATGATAAGGTAACACCTTATTGACTCTTCACCCCTCAATAATCACATAGTGTGTGTATGATTATAAGCACATGAGAGCAAGATATAATTAAGTTAAACATTCTAATTATAAATTGCATATTGCCTTTGGGTGTCAACTGTTGACAATATTTTATTACGCTACCATGTAATCAAAATACCAGTCCACTGACTATTATAAGTCTGGAGAGGCAATATCAACATTGGTTGTTAAAAACCACTTAATTTAAATAATTGTCACATAAAATTCCCATTGAATCTTAGGCAACTTTTATTCTCCGAAATGAAATCTTAACTCTAAGAGCACTTGCACAGATATTGGCAATGCGGGCAGTCAACAGATTAATTGCCGTTATATGCTTATTATTTTTTAATTTTTTATCATGCTTTTATCTTATCTATATAACATATGTGTCTTCTGTGCGATTGTGTCCTATTCTTTGCTTTATTAGTTGGTTTTTTGTTAGTTGGCTTTTTTATTACATTTTAATATCAATGCCTTCAATAAATTACGATTACATCTACAAAGCCATATTCCAAACATATAGCATAACAGTTAATTATATAATATTTTCTTTGATGAATAAAAACTTTAAAAATACATTTCATAGAAAAACTTGATAAAAAAATTCATTTAAACCTCATAACATTCACCATTAGTCATCACAATTGCTTAAATTACAAAAAGTTTATGACCAACACACCTCATTATCTCAGAAAAAAAAATAAAGACCCACTACTACTAATTAAGTTGCAATTAAACTCTACATTGGGAAATCATCTTTACCGCTTGAAAATTCATTCTAAATTTGCTTAAACGATTCAATAAACAAAGAAAAAGGCTGCACTGGAAAATAGGCTTTATATTATAACACTATAGCTTCTATTATAGGAATTTCTGTATTTTTATGAGTGCTCATGTACTGAATGTGCACCAAGCATCAAGGGTCACTAATCACTATACTCAAAAATACAGATGTACTTTTTTATTGCACAACGAAATACTAATTAAACACAATTTCAAAATTGGCATACCACATTTTATATTAAACACAATTAATTAAAAATTAAAATGTAAAATACTTTAACTTTAAATAACAGGTAAGAATAAAATATTAATGTTTTTTTAAAATAGTATAGGATTAAACATTGTTATCAGTATTTAATATAGATAGATATTAGATATATAGATATTATTAAAAAAATATATATTTTTGTAAGGCCTTTCTTTGATATTATTTAGATCTGCAAATGAAAAGCCACGACTAAAAACTATGGCCATTTTAATAGCTTTCCAAAATAACATATTAAAAGATGAAGTAAACAATACTTACAAAATTGATGGAATCTTGAACTGTTACGCCACGATAGTAGAAAACAGTACCACACTTCTTCAAACACTACACAAAACGTAAGCTATGAAATGCACTCTTATGAACACAAAAACCTATAACTAAAGAAAATAAAATCCAAAACAGGTACTGAAAAATTCGGTTTCTTCGGATATAAACTCTCTAAGGGAATCTTTATTTGTCATCCATGAAGGGAATTCGAATTGCTATGTTTGACGTTTGATTTGAGTGGTTTGATATTTCATACATTGGACTTGTTGACATGATGAAAGTGATGCAAAAACCGATCTTTATTTTATAAATTATTTTTTACATTATGTAAAATACTATTTAATATTTTATAATAATTGTTGTTTCTTTTTTATTTGTTACAATAGTGTTTACTTTAAACTCATTTAAAAATAAATTAAAACTTTTATAATATAAATGTATACTAAAAGATTATTTTCTAATAATAAAATATGTAACAATAAAATAACTAATATGTTTTGTTTAAGTGACAATATATTTTTACTTTTAAATTATTTTATAGAGTTTTTACTGACGGTAACATCGAACAACTATGTACAGTTTATAACTATACTCTTTGACTATGTATCTATTTACGGGCATGCGCGGTCATTCAAAATATCATAGAACAACAAGTGATTATCGATTTCCTTAAGTTTTTACTGAAATTAAAGAGAAGAATAGAAGATAAAATGTTACGAATATCATTCTTTTTGAGCTATTTTGTGGCAATAGGATTTTTGCAAAAATGTTTAGGTGATAAAACAGGAGTAACATTTACTTTTAAGGAGTACCAATACAAAGATTCACCTAAAAATGTGCGTACAAAGAAATTCTTATTCATATTTTATAACTAAATTTTGAATACATAGAATTCTTTATTTTAATTGAGAGTTAAAAAGAAATCAAGAATTAATAGTCTTTATGTCAAGCATTTAAGGATTATTTTAATTTAAAATGAAAATATACACTGTCTTATCGCATTTGATTTATAATCATAATTAATATTTAACAAAAGACAACCTTTAATGTAAGCACATCTTAAGTTCATAATCTAATATCTTTAATTAATTTGGTCTGTACAAAAACCATTCTACCAATAAGGATAAAATCTATACTTTTTTTGAGTATAAAATACTAAACAATATAATTATTGTAGACTTATAAATAGTAAAAGTAGTTTTTTTTACTATCTTTTTACAGGAAATGACTTTTCGAGAGTATGAAACAGCGTGTGAGCAAAGCAGCGCTTGTAGCCAAATCAACGGCTTGCCTCGTACACGATGCGTGCGAGAATGTGTTTCTCCTTCTTGTTATAGAGAAATATATCAATCAGATCCGGTAAAATATTGTATAAAACAGTAATGTTATTTTCAATGAACTTTCAGCAAATGTCTCTTAAAATGATATTATAACTTATTTATTTAAACAGCCCATCTTACAATGACTGACGTCAACGTCCTCAAAATCATTTACTATAATAGGACAAACATTTTGCCAAGTGCCTATGTTTTATCCGTCGACTAAATCAATGGACTTTTTTCTTCAAATGTTCGTCGCTCCCCTAGTGACACACTTTCTTTAATAAGTTACGTTTAAAAGAATTTTTTTATTAAAAATATCGATTGAAATTATATTAATGAAAGCAATTTCACTGTCAAGTATTCTTATCTTCTAACAAAAAGTATGTATATATCTCCAACATCAATATGCATCACGAATATACATCATCGAAGCTACCTTCCTATGGGCTCCCCGAGAAATTTTGCAACTGGATCACCAGCTTTTTGGCAGATCGGAGCATTAAGGTCGTTGTCGACGGTGCTTGCTCTGATCCTAAATATGTCAATGCTGGTGTTCCACAAGGCTGTGTACTGTCTCCTACTCTGTTCCTTCTGCATATCAATGACATGTTGCAAATTAGCAACATTCATTGCTATGCAGACGATAGCACTGTGGATGCGCTGTACACTGGCCGCGCTAATATTTCTCGGGAATACGTCAACGAGAGCCGGAACAAACTTGTGTCTGAAGTCGAATCTCTGTTAACCAAAGTCTCGGATTGGGGTCGACTAAACTTAGTCCAATTCAACCCCAAAAAGACACAAGTTTGCGCGTTAACCGCTAAAAAGTCGCCATTTATCGTAGCTCCTCAATTTGAGGACACTCCTCTGTCTCCCACAGCCAGTATCGGAATACTTGGCGTCGACATCTCGAGCAACGTCCAGTTCCGTGGTCAATTGGAAGGTAAGGCCAAACTGGCCTCAAAGAAGCTTGGTGTGCTCAGCAAGGCGAGACAGTACTTCACGTCGCGTCAGCGTCTTATTCTTTATAAGGCGCAAATTCGGCCCCACATGGAGTACTGTTCTCATCTTTGGGCGGGAGCTCCCCAGTACCAGCTACTTCCATTTGACCGCATTCAACGTAGGGCGATTCGAGTTATCGACGATCAAGCTCTCTCCGATCGGCTTGATCCTTTAGCTCTGCGTAGAGATGTTGGATCACTCTGCATCTTCTACCGCATCTATCACGGGGAGTGTTCTGAGGAATTGTTCGGACTGATCCCGGCTGCTGAATTTCACCATCGGACATCGCGCCAAAATAGTAAATTCCATCCACACCATCTCGATGTCCAGCGTTCCACAACAGTGCGATTTTTAAGGCATTTTCTGCCCCGCACAACCACTCTGTGGAACCAGCTATCGCCGGCGGTCTTTCCGAACCGCTACGACCTGGCCACCTTCAAGAAGAGAGCGTATTCCTTTCTTAAAGGCCGGCAACGCGTCTGCAAGCCCTGCGGTGTTGCAGATGTCCATGGGCGGCGGTGATCACTTTTCATCAGGTGAGCCTCCTGCCCGTTTGCCCCCTTAGTCCCATAAAAAAAAAAAAAAAAAATCACATCAAATTTTATCAAAATCGTTTGGCTACGACACCTATAAAGACGCACTTTTATTTCATGGTTATGTAGAATCTTACGATTATATTTAATATATTTTAACAACAATTTCAGCTAGAAGAAGGTGAAATAGATGTACGGCTAAATTCTTTCAAAGGTTGTTTTATTCAAAGAAGTGGTCGAACAAGAAACTGATTTCCTTCCAGTATAATTTCATCATTTGTCTTATGCATCAATAAAATACACAAAGTTCGACGGAAAATAATGTTTACAATACTTGTAAGTTTTAAAATGTACTGTATTTATCATAATACTCCATCTATAAGCTAGTATAGTATTATATGATCTGTACTATAAGTAACCAATTTCAATTTATTTAATTTTAGGTACTTACAACGATAACTATCAATAACGAAACTATTTTAAAACAAATTACATCAAAATATCAAGAAAAATATTCAAAATAAAAAGTGAACGGCAAATTATCAATATTTAAAAAAAGAGTTATGCAACTTATAACCATATGATATTTGTATTCAGCCCGTTTTAACGTCCCACTGCTGGGCACGGGCCTCCCTTCAGTACGAGGGGGATCAGGCCATTGTCCACCACGCTGGCCGAGTACGGGTTAGCGGACTAAACATGTCTTTCGAAAATTTGTATTTGTATGATATTTAATCACTTTTAAATAGTAATTATAACTTTTCAAGAATTTTTTCAATAGGTACATCCATTCAGTAATTTTTTCTATTATAATTCACTCGAATAATCTATTCCAATCCACGTTTTTATAAACCAAAATGTAAGCTATATGATTCACAAACATGTTCTATGTTTAATGTATGTGAAAACATCAGATCAAAACAATGCAATCGTTTAAAATCTAAGTCTTCATGCAATGTTATCGCAGTAATGATGTAGGCATTAACTCTAACAACTACAACTGTCAGACAAAATAAGGAACACTGACCGTGCTCAGGAGTAATACGAGGGGTTGACCAAAAATACTATATCACCCAGCTAAACTGGTTGTTGGGTGAACATCTGTGCCGTCAATATGATAGGAGTTACAGCAAGTATGTTTTAAATTGAAGAATCTATAAGCCTAGGAAAGATATAGCCCGGTTATCCAATAACATTAACTAGCTACCAGGATTTTTATGACTACAAAGGACCATAAACCTTGCCATTTTGAGAAAAATGCAGAATGATATGCCTAACAGTCGACCTAGCATTGCTGAAGACAAATTATTAACTTATATGCACATATTAGTTATAAACAGATCATTTTTTGACAATTATGCACTTTTTGAATTAAATCCTGTATTTATCAAATTTTATCATAATAGCTCTACGTATAATTGAATTTTTAAGCATGTTTTGATATATTATAAATATTTGTGTTACAACAATAAACTACTCAAAGTTTTAAATGTTGTTATGATTACTTTTGAAGAATTTTTGAATTTGATATTAAACACCCTAAATTATTGGAACATTACTTGTGTATAGCAGTAAACAATAAGAAAGACATCATTTTTAAATAAACTTCCATATTTCAACTACAAAACAATCCGTGGTCATCTCACATTCCCCGTAAGGGGAGTGGGGAAACGGTATCGGGGCATAGCCCCCTGACCGTGGGTTCTTCCGCCGCCCACAAATATGGGCGCGTCACTGGGAGGGCTCTTCTGGGACCTTTAAGGCTGCGTAATGGTAGCCGCCCGGGCGATCGCCCGGCCGGGTGAGACCCTATTCAGGGAGGCCCAGCCAGGCAACCAGCGACCAGACGGCGGCTACTGAGGCATCATTGTTGTATGGTGAGGCGCTGGTGTCGCCGGCCCGTGTTCCGCCACGACCTGCGCGAGAATATCGCGGGCACGGCGGAGCGAGGGGCACGGTGATCACGCGGCCCGATCGGTACTGACTTCAGTGTTCGCTGGGCGAGTGAGATGGTAGCAGCGGTCGTCGGGTGACGCGTCTCTTGCGAGCTGCGATACCGCAGACGCGAGCACGATTGGATGCGAGGCGGCTTCGGATCTTCTTCTTCTCGTCCGCTCATGGTGGCGGGGAGGCGTTACTGGACGACTTTCTTCGCGACCCACACGACCATCTTAGGGTCGGGCTTCAACTAGGGTGAAGGGGGAATCCCCTCAGCGCCTTTGCTGCGCGGCCGGATTCCACTGAGTTTAATAAATAAACTCGGTAGGAATGCCGTCTGGAGTCTTCTGTTTGGGTCCGTGCGATGCTTCGGAGATGTTGCTTCCTCGGCGGTCGGGCGAATCCCTACAAAACAAGGACGCGTGTCTTATTATTTATATCTTAGGACGTTACCCGTTCAATCATATTCAATATCAAAGAGTAAAGCGATGAAAACAATAGTTAAATCTACCTACTTATGCTGGCCATAAACGGGCAGCACGAGCAACTTCAAACAGCTAGTACTGACTGCATCAAGCTGCAACCGCATAGTAAATGGTAGTCCGTGTATGGCTGGCCTTACAGATAAAAAAAAAGAAAAAAAGCTTACTGAAAACATATATCATGGTTGTAGAGTTTTACCGTACTTAAGCAGCTTGGCTGCTAAAAATGTTTAATAATGAATTAAATACTGGTAGTGCTGTCCCGTTTCTGTAGGGCATCTGATACGTTAGCGCATACTCACCGATATTGCTTTAACAAGACGAGAGGCAACAATGCATAAATGAAATGTATCTTTGATAAGAATATCGTATTACTTCAATTTAGAAGCATTTAATAATGTGCCTACGCCATTTTACAACCTAGCGAGTGCCTGCAAGCTGACAGTGCCATTTGTATATTAAAACATTGAAAACATCATAGATAGGATGAAGAAGTCTCAGATAGCTGATTTTTCTATGTATTTTCACACCAAACAAAACTATCAATGTCAGAAAGAAAATTAAAACCTTATAATTATTTTTAATGTAAGCTGATGAGATTATGATTTTTTTTCTATAATGCAACTAATTAAATAAATACTTGTCAGAAGCATTATAAATAGTTAGTCAAACTTTGTATTATCATAACTTTCATACGCGCCCCCTAACTTTTTGTTCTAGCCTGATTATGTAAAAAATAAAAATACAATTATATAGTATTTCTCCCACAGCCAGTATCGGAATACTTGGCGTCGACATCTCGAGCAACGTCCAGTTCCGTGGTCAATTGGAAGGTAAGGCCAAACTGGCCTCAAAGAAGCTTGGTGTGCTCAGCAAGGCGAGACAGTACTTCACGTCGCGTCAGCGTCTTATTCTTTATAAGGCGCAAATTCGGCCCCACATGGAGTACTGTTCTCATCTTTGGGCGGGAGCTCCCCAGTACCAGCTACTTCCATTTGACCGCATTCAACGTAGGGCGATTCGAGTTATCGACGATCAAGCTCTCTCCGATCGGCTTGATCCTTTAGCTCTGCGTAGAGATGTTGGATCACTCTGCATCTTCTACCGCATCTATCACGGGGAGTGTTCCGAGGAATTGTTCGGACTGATCCCGGCTGCTGAATTTCACCATCGGACATCGCGCCAAAATAGTAAATTCCATCCACACCATCTCGATGTCCAGCGTTCCACAACAGTGCGATTTTTAAGGCATTTTCTGCCCCGCACAACCACTCTGTGGAACCAGCTATCGTCGGCGGTCTTTCCGAACCGCTGCGACCTGGCCACCTTCAAGAAGAGAGCGTATTCCTTTCTTAAAGGCCGGCAACGCGTCTGCAAGCCCTGCGGTGTTGCAGATGTCCATGGGCGGCGGTGATCACTTTTCATCAGGTGAGCCTCCTGCCCGTTTGCCCCCTTAGTCCCATAAAAAAAAAAAAAGTATTGTAGTATATTGTAACATACGGTACCTTGATTACATCTCAATTTACTGTAACGCATATGTGATTTTTATATTATTATTTTTCACGAACTTATTTTCATGTAAAGGAGAACGTATTTTGATGTAAAAAAATCGGTATTCATCGGTTTTTAAAATTGGTTTTTTACATGACAACACTATACAACCCTCAAACTCCACTTGCTATCGTGAGAAGCGGTCTAGTGAAAAAAGTGAAATGGCTTCTTTGTGCAGGCAAATTATCCGGGGAAATGCCCTTAAAAGTGTTCTTTTATCCACTGCCCGACGGGGATATGCTGATAAAAGTAAGAAATTATTACCAATAACTAAAATACCTCACCTTATCTGTCATTGTTTCGTTACGTAATGTCAAAAATATCCTAATTTTCCCTAAGAACATTATAAAAAAAAACAAGATTAGAAAAATGACATTATTTTGCATTATTAAATGGGCTTCAAGTTTCATACCATAAAATTTACAAAAATTCATATCCTTCATGACATTGAATGTCACTAGGATAGGCACATTTTATTGATTAGTTTTCAAAATATTGACATACTTTTCCTACACTGAGTCATGAAATAATTATATATCTCTTATTTTATTATTAAGAAAATGTTTTTTTAGAACTATGCACCATAATAAATACATATTCTCAACTAAATATTGTTTTAGGTTAGAATATATCTTATCTTTAGTATAAATTTTGATAAATAATAGACCTATTTTGGCCGACTTTTCTTAGATAGTGTATTAAATACATACCACGAACATCAAGTTACATAAATTGCTTCATCTAAATAAACATAATAAAAAATTCCATTTATTAATTAATCTTATGACATGAACATACAAATCTTATAAGATTTTTTGAAGCTCAAGGGCAAAATCTTTTGTTTTATTATGTACAAGCTATTTAGATAACAAAATTAAGTAATATCTATTTTATTCCTTGTTTCTGAAAAAAATAAAAATTGAATATCAATTCGAATAGCAATACAAAACAAAATTATATAATTACATTCAATTTTTTCTATTAAATTATGTTTTATCAGTGATGCCTGATCCCCTCGAGCATGCAACAGGCTTGGAAAAGAAGGAACTGTTAGCTTTGCAATCTGGTAATGATGATCCCTTCAACATGAAGGTCTTACAGAAGGCTGCTGGTACTCGTGATAATCCCACACTTGTACCATCTTGCTTTGATGCCCGTATTGTAGGATGCATATGTAAGTACTGAAAACAATTAAGACAAATGATTACTTCAACTACCATTGGTTTTATTATGATAAAAATCACACCTTATATTATTTACATCATTAAAACTTATTTGAAAACTTGTGTATTGATTTTTTCTTACATAAGAACTTAATCTCTATGTTTTGCAATTCCTAACTTAACTGTTCATTCTTATCATGCCATGCATTGTGATTATAATATATTTGCCATTAAAAAGTTAAAATATTCACACTCATGAGAACCAAACCCAATATGTTTTAAATGTTTTTTTTTTACTATTAATGCAAAGGGATGGTTTGAGTAACAGCCTTATTTTTTATTAGGTATCTTTACCTTTTGTATTTTACGTAGTGATTTCTTTTAATACAAAAATATTTTGCATGTATCTGCTTATATAGTAGGTTGAAATCACATAGCCTTTTATTAATGCAAGTTATTTAAGAACTCCCCACAGATAAACCTTCCAAAAAAAAACGAATATATTTTACCACTTGTGTGTTAGTATTATAGAATTCAAAATATCTCAATTTTCAATAATTACATGAAAATACCAGATTTTATATGATCTTTTATTTACAGGTGAAGAACACTCCACATCTATCAACTGGCTTTGGGTACACAAGGTATGGTAAATTATTTTTTTTCACTTTCTATTGTCCATGCATGAAAAATGGAGAAATTAAAATAACAACTTAATATGTTATTTATATACTTTATAGTAACATATATCTAATAAATAATAAAATAACTTTGACGAACGAAATATTTTAATATTATTTTTATTTCATTGTAACAAATGCACAATTATTAATTACTTCTCAACACATTATTTAAAAAATCTCACAGCTTTATGATAAAAACTTAGATAATAAGGTTTTAGTAGGCATTCATTAGTCTCGAATATTAGACTCCCATTTGCTAATTCCTCAGAGAAATAATGTTCCAAGGCATGTATGTGTGCATGATAGTACATGCTATAATAGAAAATTTATATCAAAATTAAAAAGGTTCTTTTTTGCTATTGTACAGGATCATCCCCGCCGATGTGAATGTGGGCACTGGTACAAATTGATCGAGAAGGCGCCCTTGTAAATGCTGTTCTACTTAGTTCTATTAGTAGTCATTACTGCATAACGCATTCAATTCCAATGTTCCTGCAAGACAGGATGCGTTTAAAGAAAATCATAATTAAATATTTGTAAGCCTCAACAGCGTTTCATTCGTTACCTGCAGTGTTGTGTTGTTAACGGGATTTATTTTATGTAGATAATTATTAAACAATTAAAATTATTTGTAGTTTTATTTTATCTGTATGCAATATTATTTTAGAAATAATGTGGATGTTCTCAATTACTATTATTTTATTATTTACCATATAATTAAAAAAGATTAATGAAGTAAAAAGTAGCACAATGCACAGATTTCTTTTACAATACAAAAATCTCAAAGGTATAAAATGTTATTCTAAGTAATTATAGATAGAAGTTTGAATGCATAATAAAATATACATATTCTAGACTCTAGACTAGACCTTGAAATTTATCAAATAGGCACTACGCATCAAATAAATCGATGGAAAAATGAATGTACTCGTAAGTCATAACATTTTTCATAAAAAAATATGGTCATAAATATTCATCAATAATAGATTTAAAACGTGACTTTAGTCTGTTTAATGATTTAAATTAATACATTTTTATGTAAACGTAGTTTTTGGGGCAGAATTTTGCTATTTTCTGCCGCCAGATGTCGCGTTCACTATAATCCTCAGTATATTGTAAAGCTCTATAGCGCGGAAGGAAAATTTTCCATTTCATTCAAAATTTAATTAAAATGACGAATTGTGTAGTGCCAAGATGCAAAGAAAATGGATATCATTTGTTCTAAAAGACAAAAAAGGAAGAAATAGTTGGCTAAAGCAATAGGACGACCAAAATTGGCGAAACCACAATCTTTTTATTTAAGACTATATGGGCATCATTTTAAAGAAAGTGATTTTAATACTCTTAAATCGTCTACGGGTGAATATTTTTTTTATTTTTTTGTACCTTGTTACATATTAATTACAGACTTTCATACAAACTTTTATCTTGATCTTTCATCATGAGTGACTTACGAAAAATGCTAAAACATATATTTATGAATTGTATTGGAGAGCATTAATACCAAGTTTCAAGTAATTCTGATCATAAATAATTCTTTGCCCATATAAACTTTATCACCCCCTTTTACCCCTGTAAGAGATGAATTTAGAAAAAAATTTCTTATTTTTTATCTTACAGCTAAACACCACATTCTGTGTATTTCAAATTAAAAATGATAGAGTTTCATACAATCTTACGTCCCCTATTTTACCCACTTAGAGGATAAGTTTCGAAAAATTCTTATCAGATGCCTACATCATATTTAAATGAATGAAACGTCCTCCAAATTTCACGTTTCTACGATCTGCGGCTTAGGCTGTGTTTATCCAGCAGTAAGTCAGGAGTCAGGACCACGACAGGATGTACCTCTCCTTCATAATTCTTTCTTCAGCTGGTCTAACTTTCAGGTACAATACATTGCACAGGTAAAATGCGAACACAATAGAAGCAAAAAACCAGGTACAAAAGAGATATCATAATGAATTACTTAACTTCAGACTGAATGTAAATAGGTCATACGTGTAGTGCCCTCCTTCAAAGAAATCTTTCCCATTTTATGCTAATGTTAATAATCTTGTATATGCAATATTACCCTAATTTCATAGTACTTGCAAAATAAATAAACAAAAATCAGTTGTCAGTTGTCACTTGTCATCAAAATTTGACATTATTAAGTTAGACTGACATTTGCATAATTTAAAAAAACTACAAAAATATTTAGAAGTTAGAACAAAGAGTATAGATATATACTGAGTTAGAACATTGTCATCCATGATTTATAATTATATTGCATCGATTTTAAAACTAATAACGTATGAATTTCATGGAGGTTTAAGAATTAATGTGAAATAATTAACGTTATTTACTTATATAGTAATACTTTATATTACAGAGAATGGCGCGTAAGTTTATTATTTACTAGAAATCTTTTCTTTGCTAAATAAATTCAGTCAAATACATACAATGCTTTTTCCTTATTAAAAATAATTATAACATTTATAATGCTTGATATTTTTATGGCTATTGTGTCTAATGATTGTTGTTACTTATCTTTTTTTAAGTTTAAATATTAAATAATATTCCAATTTTTAGGCTACGCTCATCACATTTTTAAAGTGCATATCGCAGATGGATTTTCAAATGACTGTGATGAACTTATTCATAAGTGCTTACAGCTACGGACTTTAGACTACCAGACGTTTTGCAATTTTTGGAAAGACTTCAACTTTGGCATGATTTATATGTAAGTAATGTACAATGAAAAAATATATAACAATTTCGTTAATCATTTATGTTTACATTTACATGTCTTTCAGGAGATTTGTAAAAATGTAAATTTCTTTATATCCGTATAATATTTGTCTATCAATATTTTATTTTAGACACATACATTTTGTAAATAACTACTTTTAAACCTGTAATTAATTCAGGGGAAGAACTTCAGGTGCAGAAATTGCTGAATTAACTGAAGAAGTTATACACATTGCTAAACACTATATGGTTAAAGATACTAGTAATATAGAGGTAAGTAATAAAAACATATATTACTAAAAAAACTATTAAATATTTAAATTATACAGTTAAGGAAGTGGTAACTCGTTCCCTTGGGAAACCGAGTGAAGCTGGTTAAAATCGCGGGTCTCGCACCTCTGATATTTGCCCGCATGGTGGACTATGGCCTGATCCCCTTTGTATTGAGGAGAGGCCCGTGCCAACAGTGCGATAATAAGGGCTGAATAAAATACATAGATACATTTAAGTTATATTAATTAAAAATATATGATTTGAAAGTAGTGTTAATAATGAAGATAGCTTATTGGTCATAACAATGATTATTACTATCTAGATCAGGAGTTTCTAATCCATAGAGTGCGCTCCCCTAGGGGGTGTAGAGAGAGTTTATTTTGTATAAATTAAAATAAATATAAATTGTTAAATATTGTGTGTTTTATTATAATAAAATAAATAAATGGGGGCATGAAAATATTTATTATAATCTGGGGAGGCTCAACAGAGGAAATTTTAGGAAACCCTGATCTAGATGTTCTTATTAACAATATGTATATAATGTTTTACATTAATCTGTTTCATGTTGAATGGATGATACAGTATGATAATAAATTATAAATACTTATACAGTATATTGTACTTATAAATGCAAAAGTGTAATCATTGATAACAAATAAATTGGAAGTTTACCTGATCCCCATATCTACATACATGATCTACATATGAAAGGCTAAACACTATTAGAAATTTAATATTTTTATAAATCTATATATACATATGTGAGATCATTTAGTAGGCAAATTTTTAATTTAGATTTGGACTTTTTGCATCAAAAACGGTTTTGTTTCTTTTTAAACTGAACATACTATGCTCCAAAGGTCTTTGTAATAATAGCAATAGCATTAAAATTTTAAATATTTGTTTAATAATAATAATAAAGCCTTTATTTCTGAACTTTCTTACATTTTAATTATATTTACAATATGTCACTTATCTCGGTGTGCCTTACGGCATAAGCCTCCTCCAATGCCTTTCACTGCTTTCGATCTACTGCCACTAAGTAAGGAGTAAATAGTTTCTTAAAGGGTCGGCAACGCGCATGTGATGCCCCTGGTATTGCAGGCGTCCATATGCTGCGGTAACCGCTTACCTACAGGCGGGCCACATGCCACCGTCGTGGTATAAAAAAAAACTCTTAACCAAAGGAGACCGTCTTCTCACTTTGCGATCTCGGCTCCTGAAGCTTTCCCTTGGGTACCAGACTATCACCTGTTTACTCCATTTTTCATATTTACAACATAGCATATGTCCAGTTGATTAATCTTCCTCAAATATTACAGGAATCAATAGCAGGCCTCTTCTTAGTATATGGTCTAATAAAGCTACAGCCATACCCAGGCTTTGCCTGTCTTCGTATAGTTCCAGATGACTTGCAAGCAATTAATAGGATAGAAGTTGTGGCTCGTAGGGACAGAAGATTGGATGTTTTATATATACTGGGAGAGTTATTGTCATCATGCAGTCAGTATCATGCGGCAGAGAGGGAGAGGGGTTTGGAAGCAGTGCTTCGAAAGTATTTGGAAGGTAAATATTGAATTATTAGCGACTCATTCTTGCTTCGCTCAGGTTTGTCTCTACGTTGGTACATTTTAATGGTTAGTATGGAATAGATAAACTATAATATACATACATTGAAAAAAGAAGTCAAGAAACACACAGGGAGATGGCCCACCTTGGTGGGTGGTGCGCCATGTGGGTTGCTCCTGGTACTTCTCTGATAGCAAAGTAGACTATGGGGAAACCCTACATATATTTCTTTTCTGCCCGTACATAAATTCAAAGATTTCATTTTTTACAGGTTACACAAGCATAGACAAGCTAGGGGTGCGCCCAAAAGGAGTGTTCTTTAGACAAAACGAAGAGCTGGATATTATAAGGGACTTGGGTTCAGTTACCAGACAGTATGCAAGGGCTAAAAAGTCACTTATAGGTAATTGATTTCACTTAAAGTTTATTTTACTTGACATTTTCTATTATTATAGATTTAAGGGCAGTAGTTGTATGTTCTGGGTTCGAGTTTCGAGTCGGGCCAAGTTTAGGTATTGAGTCTTTCTGTTAAGAAAGTCCCAGTAACAGCCCGGAGTTAGAGAGTTGGTGGTGTTTCACCCCCGTGCCTCGGCTCTCACGTGTTGCGTCGGTCCTGCGCCTTAACTCTCACCGGTCGTGTCTCGTATCGTCTCATCAGAGTGTGAGAGTGACAGGAATAGAGAGTGCACTTGTGTTTCTGCACTATAATATCTCCTGCAGATAGCTAGTCTTAATGAGATTGGCCGCAATGGCCGAAATCGGTTGGGAGCAACCGATTTCGGCCATGGCGGCCGTGACTTTTGTTTTTTTTGTTGGGACATTAACACACAGCACCATCTATAGTTCATTAGCGTTAAGAAAATAGTAAGTCATCGTTGTCCACCGGCCTAGCCACGCCCACCGACCAATTAGATTGCATAAAATTATAAAGTCAAGTTTAAAATGACCAGTTGAAGACAGACTTTCGTATGAAATATTTGTGTCCTTTGTGCGTTACCTCCATTAATTTTTAAAAATAAATACCTCACCTATTCGTAAGAACAAAAGTGGGTCTATAATTCATAGCGGAGAAAGACGAGTAATTTACAATGTTTTTAAGTACTTTAAACTGTGCGACAAAAATGATTTTGATTCTGTTATAATAAACACAAACGAACATTCTAGTGATACTGATTAAATATATTATTAACATTGTGCATGGTGCATTTTGATTTTTTTGAGCGGAACCCTAATTTTTTTATAAAAAAAGTAGCCTATGTGACTCCTTATAACATCAGCTATCTTCCAGTGAAAGTCCCGTCAAAATCAGTCCAGCCGTTTCAGAGATAATGCGGAACAAACAGACAGACAGACAAAAATTTAAAAAATTGTGTTTTTCTTATAAGTACCGTATATAATTTCATATGCATTTAATAAAACGCTGTAATTTTGATATTACAAACAGACACTTCAATTTTATTTATCAGTATAGATGACTATTTTGATTTGAGATATTTAAGTTGATTTATCCATTAATCTTTTGAAATATATTTGAATTGATATTTTTACTCTCCACTATGAATACACATTTTCCCTGCAGTTGCATTTATGACTCACTATTTTGTCAACGCAAATGGATTGTAGTTCCATGGTAAGCGTTATGGATACCAGATAGTTGATACACTACACATATATAACTTTAAATAGATAACAATATAGATAAACTTTAGATATAATATATTGTATGTAGGTGATGCCGTATCAGATCCCAGTCTTCAGTACATTAACGAGAATCTACCAAATGAATTGAACGCCTCACTGAGGAAAGTGATCAATGGAATAGTTGAAATTGATGCAGACAGCGATGACGGTGGGTCTTTTGTGTTTTATTTCAGATTTTATATGATTTTGATTTCATGAAATTAAAAATAATCCCTACTAATATTATAAATGTGAATGTTTGTGAGGATCTTTGGATGGATGTTTGTTACTCTTTCATACTATATATACTTCAGTCCGTAAATTATCAACTTAGTTAAGGCCTCAAAACATTGTCTTGCAATATTTTTCAAAGCAAGTGCCTTTGTATAAGTTTTTTTTATATATTCAGATGATGAAGACGATGACGACCACTACAGCAACGTGCAAGCCATCAAGAGCAAAGCCATGACGAACACCGTAAATCCTATGAAGCACTTGCAAGGTGTCAGCGATAGGTAAGTATTAGAAAATATTTGACTAGGTACACGTTTGGCTCGATTTGTAGTGACCCTACTTGCTGTGCCAACGGACGCGGGTTTGAGTTCCGCTTGGGGCATTCATTAGTGTGATGAGCACGAATGTTTGTATTCCAGTCTCAAGCCTTGTAGCTTACAGTCACAACATATTTATTTAATATTATTTATTTATATAGAAAATGATTAAATATGTATACATAATTTCAATGTGTGACATCGCAAAATCCCTCATTTTTATTTTTTTGTAAACTTGCAGCGCGACATGAATGTAGTATAAATAGATAGAAATTATTTAAACAAAAAAAAATATTAGCAATATAATGCACTAATGTGTCACGTTCCTAAGATATCATGTCATGTCAAATATGCATAGCTGATTTTAAAAGAAATTAAAATGATGGTAGGTGGCTGTTGTGGTGTATATACAATAGAGAATAAAAAATGTACTAACTTTTTTTATTCTTTATTGTATATTCATAACAAATAAGGTATATTTTATTTTTTAAAGAACTAGCGGGTCACCCTCCCTTCGCTCGAGTTCGTTCCTAGGTACGTTTTAACTGTAGTATGGAATAGATAGACTTTATATTATATGATATATAGTCTATAGCTATCCTCAATGAACGGGTTATCTAATGTAAAAAGAAATTTTCATATCGGTTTAGCAGTTTTTGAGATTAGCGCGTTCAAACAAACAAAGTCAAAAATTATCATTATTCTAGTCATATATTTGTTCTCATAATTTATTAACGTAGATAATTATTAAAAAAATATATGTCTAAAACATCCACCCAAATTCTACATACATCATTTAAAAAAAGATCCTTTTTCTTTTCCAGGGATGCAGCAAATCCTGTCCTAAAAAGCAAACCCGAATTAAAATCACCAACTGGCAAAATAAAAACTGTCAGTCCCACCAAGCCTGTCACGACGTCACCAAAAAAACGAAAAGCACCCTTAAAACGGGGTAAAGCTAAAAAAGCTAGAAGGAAAAGCAAAGAAAAATCTGAAACAAACATTTCGAATGAAAATATTGAATTAAATCTTGAAGAATTCAAAAAAGTAAGTGCTAATAATGAAGCAGATGGACAATGTGTTAGTGTAGAGATAGAAATAGAAGCAATACCTCCAACTAAAGCGTTGGAAAATAATGGAGATGCGATTGAAATCGAAGTCATTGATAATAAAATGCCTGAGGCTAGTAATAATAGTACTAAAGACAACAGTGATAATAAAACTGAAAGTGATGAATCATATGATGACGAAACTGAAGACGATGAATGTGTTAATGAAAGCGGAGTTGATGAAGTTCGTGCAGGTGATGAAGTTCGCGAAATGGCCAATGTTCAAACTAAAATGTCAATGGATTTGACAAGACCAAGCAAGAGAACTCGTAGAGATATACCAATAATTATAGAACCGATAGTAAGGAAGAAAGAGAAGCAAGACTGTAAGAGGAACAAAATAAAATCGAAGTTTCGCAAATGGGGCATACTTCCCATTGCTAATTTTAAAGAAAAATAATTTTGTTAGTACGCAGTATGCTCATGTATAAAGTCTTCTAACAAAAGCGTCTAAAAAGGGTACAGGACGAGTCGCTCCCGACTGTCATACGCACTTTTATATGACATTCGGGAGGCGGCTTTAGGGTTGACCGATATGATTATATCACAAGATGGTGTTCAACCCTTTTTAACGTCCCACTGCTGGGCACGGGCCTCCCTTCAGTACGAGGGGGATCAATCCATACTCCTCCACGCTGGCCAAGTGCGGGTTGACGGACTGCATATGTCTTTCGAAAACTTGCTAGATTCCCTCAGACATACAGATTTCTTCACGATGTTTTCCTTCACCAGACAAGAGAAGAAAATATCAGAGGTGCGAAGCCCGGGATTTGCACCCACTTCATTCGGTTTTCCTAGCGAGCGTATTACCACTGGGCTACCACTGATGATACTACAGTGTTTTATCTTCTCTTCGAAACCGATTGCTATGAACATTTGTATTTTTTATTAGCCTTGCATTTGTCGGGATATGGATTATTTTACTGTGGTAATATTTGGAATGTGATGATGATGAGAACGTTGAATGTCTTCTTTCACACAACACCAGCTCCTGAACAGCTGGTAATTTTTGAATATCTAATCTAATATATTTAAACAAGCAATTCTTGTATATATATTTGTATATGTATATAATTTCCATTTCGGAAACGGCTCCAACAATTTTCATGAAACTTAATATACACGGAGTTTCGGTGGCGATAAATCGATCTAGATTAGTTTTATAGACATAAAAACAGGGAAAACGCGTGTTTTCGAGTTTTCATACGGTTTTGTTTCGCATTATTCCACGCAATATGGTCGCTAATTCGCACTGTTCGCAATGTTTTTTCTGCCAAAAACTCCGAGCGAAGCTCGGTAGCCCAGGTACTTAATATAATAGAGAGATGAAATTTGAATGGAAGTTCGACATTTTTGATGTATGAAAGATTGCGTTTAAGCATCTTTCTAAGTTGCCGATGAAAAAGGCTAACTGCTTGTGAAGCACAAGGCTGTATTAAATTATGTATTGATCTCAGATGATATTGAAATATCATTAACATTTCTTGAAAGAAATGTTACATTGATTTTAAAAGAAATGTCAAAAACAAATGTATTCGAATTAAAATCATGAGCGTAGTTTTATTTCTAATATAACTATGAGTTTGTGAATTATATTATACTCGTAATATAACAAGAACTAACTACGAAAAAATAACTATAATTAAAGGATTTTTTAACCCTACTCGGATAAATAGAATATTAAAAATATATAAAACAGGATAGCAAATATAATGCTTTAAGATAAAAATGATAAAACGTTTGACACCTCATTAATCAAGATAGGATAAGTAGTTTAAGCACTTAGGTGAAACATACAGAAAAACATACATGCATATATATTTAGACTGCTAAGAACATAACCCTTTCTTTTAGCTTTGTCTTGTCTGGTAAAAGTCAAGAAAAATGAGTCATAATTAGTAATCAAATTAATAGATTCAGAATCAATTTTCATATTTTACTTTTTAACAAAAAAAAGATATATTGATTTTAAAATATGTAAATTATTTTTACATATTTTAAAATCAATATATCTTTTTTTTTTTTAAAAGTAATGTAATTCTTAGACACGCTTTTGACGAATTGTAATATCCGGCACCCGACGTCTCACTGCGAGTTCGAATTGTCTCTCCCATCGGAGTTTTGAGAGTGGAAGAAAGAGAAAAGTGTAGGCACTATTCTTAGCACAGAGCTCCATCACATGTCTTCACTAAAATATCTGCCACGCACAGCGCTGGATTCACACTAGGGCACTCGGGGCTAGTGCCCAGGGGGCCAAATTTTTAGGGGCCATTCAGAAAATTCAGGCTATTCAGAAAAACTTTTTTATCGAAAATTCGTTTTATGAAAATTGAAAACATTTATAAATCGTCTTTTTGCATTTTTCAAAAATTAATAATTAAATTAAAAAAAGCTTTATCCAAACTTTATCTATTTTATGCAAAATTTCGATAATAGGGCGGCATTTTTATAGTGCCCACGGGACGGCGTTAAGGTTGAAACCGGCACTGGCCACGCAGATGGCATTGCTTCAGTGAGATAGGCCTCCGTGACTGAAATTCAGTCTTCGATCGGTTTATATGTATAATGTTTACTTTTTTTATTAAAACAGTTGCATCCTGCTTAAGATTTTGAGGAAATTCAATTAAAAATTAATTTTAATGCCAGCTGTAGAAGCAGTGGTTGCCTTCTGCTTTTATCATATTGGAACATAACATTTTAATTATTAGAACATTTTATACAGGACTAGTACAGATAGATATAGTGTTTGTTTTTGTTACTTCACGCTGAAACGGCTGAACCAATTTAGATGAAATTTATTACACGGATAGACTATAACCTGGAGTAACACGTAGGCTAAGTAGCTATTAGATATATACTACCAAAATATTTGAAGAAGTAAAGAAAAAATAAAACAATTTTGTACACCTGTTTTTTATTTCTAGCAACATTACTCTAGCGCCATTCACGCTGTATTACAGTAAAATTGCAAACACTAATAAATGTATTACAATTCTTTTCAGAAAAATAATATACAATAGGTAAAGGCAAATTAAACATGTGTAAGAGGCTTTATGTAAGATTTTCACGAAATTTAAAATTATTTGAGTATAGATCTATCATTAATCAATACTTTTACTTCAATCATAATATATTTGTAAATTATTATTGACAATTTTAAGAATAATAGATATCAAAAGTACATTTAAAACAAATGTTAGCAAATAGCAACACTGTTAAAAGAAAAATTGGCGCCACAGCCAAAAAATATGTTTGAAAAAATATTATTTGCTCGTTACAAACTTAAATCTAAATCAGGCAAGTGAAGCAAAATAAATAGTGTCTTAGAATTAAACAATATACAATATATGTAGAACCAACGTTGCTTGGTTTGTTAGGCCATTTAATTTGTGAAATCTCACGATCTCTTATACTATACTATATATACTTAAAATAAAAAAAAACTATTACGATAAAAATACAAATCTGGTAAAATGAAAATTCATTGTATCCTTCATATTGAACTTAGAAATTATTATAATATTTGATAAGTCAAATAATATAGATATTTAGTTTTTTACAAAGAACATATTTCATTAAATATCTATGTAAAAATTTTTGTTAACATCAATATTTATCATATTCCATGATATTTCAACACGCTGTAGCAAATACAAAATGTGGCTATTACAAAACACCAAGTAATATCCCCATAAATTTAAGCAAATTATACTTACAAATTAATAAATTATTGTGTATATTTATATATTTTAATCTGGGTCATTTCTTAACTCTTGATCACATAACAGAGTATCTGTTAGATTACGGTGGTCCATCTGCCTTAGGTCCGCATTTAAAAAAAGAAAGTCGTAAATGGACTACAGACTAAAAAAGTTAATTTAATATAATAAATCAATCTTCATGCTCATTTGTAACTATATATTTGTTGAAATACATTGTACAATACTTGTAAGATTATGATTTTTGCTTATTTTGACTAGCAACGCACCAAAATTCAATAATAAAGACAATAAAAACACAATATATATTATGTATATCATATTGTTAAAAAAAGACATTTTTTATCAAATTAATCAATAATAATCATCAATCATTATTTTCTAAAGAAATTATTAGCTTTCTTTATGTTTGCTTTTAATAGATGCCACCAACTCGCCCTTGGTCAGTGTGGTGGACCATGGCCTGATCCCCCTCGTATTGAAGAGACCCCTGCCCAGCAGTGGGACGTTAATAAGGGGCTGAATACAATAAATGCCTATGCATAATGCAACAGATAAAAAAAATTAAGCAAGCAACCATTTTTCACTGTCCTCGGCAGATGGGAAAGCACAACTTATGATTTGATTTTTAACTATTTAAAATGTAAATGTACCGAATCTACAACTACCTGCATATTAAAACTAGACTATCACAATTGTTAACAACCACTAACAAATTTATACTATTTGCGTTATTGGATTATTGTAAGGAGGTGATGCATGAATACTTTGTTCTTGTTCTATTGATAAAAAAAAACAAACATGTGCAATTCTGACTTGTACAGGGAGGGTTCTGTATAGCATGAAACATTAAGTTTATAATAACCATTTTTTTGTGATATAACTACAAATTTACGATTTTTTGATTTTTCCATTTACTTGTGCTTTAAGACATTGCTTCTTATCAAATTTCATGATTCTAAGTCAACGGGAAGTACCGTATAGGTTTTGATCTTTTTGCGTATTTTTTTGCGTTTTCAAAATTGATTGCGTTGAACTAGAATTTGGTTTTATCACAGGTTGAAGAGATTGCATACTTGAGTATTTAATATTATTTTCAACTTGAACCCTCCACGCGATCGTGAGAAAAGAAATCTTGACTGACAGAAGGACGAACAACGAAATTCACCAATAAAGGTACCTTTTTCACTTTTGAGGTACGGTACCCTAAAAAAGCAAAGAAACACGCTATTTACTATAACATCCAATGTATAGCTCATCAAAGCGAATCAAATGAGCCCAAACTCGAAGGTTTTGCTAGTGGCTGTTAAAGAGTTCCACTATAATCTCCCGACTTCAGTCAGATCGGGGTGTTAAATTTCCATATCCTTCTCCAGATTTCACATACTAACAACGTTTCAAATTGATACGATAAATCGATAAGTCAATTCTAAACATATAAATCTTACAATAGAATGAATGAAATAAGCTCTAAAATGGGAATTTTAGCAATAGGCCTATAAAGTTTACGTTATTCACAATTTATTAATTTAAGATTATTAAAAAATGCAGGACCGGTTTTTTCTTTTTTGTTTATTGAAATAATGTCATTTTAATTTTTCCATTATATGAACGAGATGAGAAAACCGCCGATATATCATCGCTAACGTCAGCCTGTCCGTCTGTTACAGACTATTTTTCCCAAATTTACTGGACGGATAAGTTGAAATTTGGTACTTAAGAGTTAGATTTCCCAACGACGGACGATGACCGTATACGATTTAATTCAAACTTTGGGAGGTAAATTTAATAAAAAAGCTTTTACCAATTGCATTATAGGACGATGAATGATGATAGGGACCGATATGATGTTTTTTTTCTATAATGGTTTATAGTTGCGTTAACAGACGCAATCTATTCTGCCAGGATAACATGTTTAAATGTAACAATGGTAATGTATGGTAGGCTGTCTGTAACAACTATACCTTCAAGACATGTAACACCTCAGTCTCTCCCGTGACCATGGATGCTGTAAAGCATTCGAAACGTCGGGAACCAAAAATCAAAATAAATCCGCGAAATAATCCGAACAGATAGTTTTATTTAAAAATGTCAAACATTCGCGTAAATCTAAGAAAGTATTATGTTTAAATGTTTTAATTTTATTTATCAAAAAATATTAAAGAACATACAGAAATTACACATTTATGACAAAAAGGGCCTCATTCATTACCGATGAAATACATATGAAATAAATTCGAAATCCATCGTATTGTATTTTATAAATCATCGTATGTAGTCGTAAGTCCATCTAAAATTTTTTGGACCCTTCAAATTTTGAAATATTTTAAACATCAGGTTACACCAAAATTTTGATTTCGAAGCCAAAAATTTTGATTGAAATATTATCAAAAAGATGAGAAAAAAATAATATTACCAGTGGCGATAAAAAAATCCAACAATAACCCATTAACGCATCATTTATAATTCTGCAACACTGATTATTATCTACTATGTTCTACCTAAGATTTTATAGTTTAGACTTTAGGCCATTTAAATACGTATATAATCATTTAGCCCAGATCTTAACAGTTTGTAATTTTAAATTCGTTATAATAATTAAGTTTTTAAAAATAACCGTTTCGTCTCTTGAAAACTTCCAGCAAAGGAATATTTTCTCTGCCAGATTCCCTTCCACTTTTCAAAAGTATCTCGTATCATTTTTAAAACAAGCATTTAATTTCCGGAATGTTGATGTTTTATTTAAATGTAGATATATATTTTACGGTTTTCTTTTTTATTTTAATTTATTGTAACAATTTAATTTGTACTGGATGATATTAGCCAGGCACTAATGACTATTCCCATAATTTATTCGGATAACATTAATACTTTTTACACCAACTTCTTTTCTTTCAGACATTTAACAGCGTCAAACTTTTTAGAACATTTGAGCTTATTTTACGCCAATCTTCATATAATCCTTAAAATGTAAGTTTAACTATTTTCGTTTCTTTCCACTATCGCTAATTCGTCGTCTTCGCCTGAAGTATTAGTTTTGACGTCACAGTGTGCCAAATTTGCTTCCGAGGACCCATTGCTAGATTCATGAGACCTAGGGCTGACACTCGTCTTCCTAACATATAGCACGTTTGATTCCAACCTATTGTTATGATCATTAAAAGACACCCCATAAGCACTCCCATCAGATATTCTATTCAACTTATGTATCTGCTCCCTTAACTCGCACACTTGACCATACAATTTCTTGTTTTCCCGCAAAATCGCTATATTTTCGGTCTCCAACAGCTCTCTTTTGCTCCACTGTATATTATTTTCGGATTTAAGTCTTTCAATCTCCATTTTGTTTTCTGCTATCTTCTCTTCTAACACTTGTTTTGCTGCAATTTCATCTTGGAGTTCATTTTGTAATCTTTCTACTTCACTATGACTAGAATCTGACCCTAATGTTCTATCGTTGTGTGTATCCAATTTTGTATTATGAATGTATGTTTTTAATGATTCAATTTGGGATAATAAGAATGCTTCCCTATCTTTTTCTCTTTGCACAATTTTGCATGATTCATCTAACTGTAGTCTCAATTCTGTTATTTCGTTAGCCCTTGCATTATCTACATTAGATAACTTATGTGAATCTAACGAGGCCCTCTGTCGGATTGAAGGTTCATTAGAAGCGTTGTATCCAATATTTTTTCTTCTCAACTCTACCCCATCCTCAGCAGTTATATTCCCTGACACTATCCTGCTCTCACCAATGCTTAATAATTTCTCATTATCCTTTTTTAATTCCATAATCTGCTGTTCAAGGTCGCATTTCTCCGTTCTTAATGTGGCTAACTCCTTTGACAGTACATCTACCTTGTTTTTAAACTGCTTGGCTTCCTCCCTAGCTTTATTACGTTCATTACGTACCTTACTCCACTTTTCTCTCCAGTTGGCAGTACAGTCTGACCACCATCGCATCGTTTTCTCCATCTGTGTGGCCCTAGCTCGAGCTTCATCGAGTTCTCGTTGGTAAAGGGCTTCTTTTGCCTCCCAATCTGTATTGGTATACCGCATTGAGCTTGCTTCATGATCTCGACTGCGCCTGTGACTTCCTCCTTGTGAACTTTGTGCCATTTTTCTAAATCTGAAAGTTTTATGACAATGAATAAGTACATATATATATATTAATTGTTAATTTAAATTAAATTATTTTCCAGCCTCAAACGTTATAAGTTGTTTGAATAGTTTATTATTAGTTTAGCATGTCTAGTATAGGTTTCACTTTCTTCGTAGTAACTGCTTATATCCTACATATATATACTTTTTACGCTCTATTCTAGATTTACTTCTCTGTCTTAATTTTAAAAATAGAGCAAAAGGTGGAGTAAAACAAGGACTTTTCTATTTTCTAATTCAATTAAGATGTCCAACAGTTTAGTCAGCAGTCCAGCAAATGACTTATCAAATTTTAAAAATTGAAACTATTATAATGAATTGCAACAGTATATTTTTTTAACAAAATTGTGTTTTCAGCATTATGAGTAGTTGTCCACCACAACCTCCACCTCCTTGCCCACAAACATGCCCACCTCCTCTACCTCCCCCGCCTTGTTATGTAAAACCTATTATGAGACGTCTTCATAGGACACAAACTAAGAAAATCATAGCACAGGCTCTCTTAGCATCCATGTTGGCGGGGAGTTGTGTATATTTTTTCATTGGGGTTCCAAGAAAGGCTAAATACAGGGAGTATTATGCGTAAGTATAATTTTTACATTAAAAAGTAGCACTTGTATACAGACAAAAGTAATATTTAAAACATGGTTCAAAAATGAAATTATAAAGCATAAGATCAATTATTTTTAAGTTATTTATATTACATATATTTGCAGCATTATCTGTTCGTAATACGTTTTCTTCACTAATTTTTAAATAAAAATTAAGCAGGGGTTCTAATTTGTCAGAATTATTATTCTGTGTTACAACTTTCTTTTTATAAAAAAAAAGTTTTGATAACATACAAATTTCTTTTCATCATCTTAATCTCTATCATCATCATCTAAATATCTTTTTAAAAACCTGGAAACTCAAAATTAAAAAAATATTTCGTTAAACCCATTTGTTTACATAAAAATAGCAAGTCCTACATAAAAAAATGTACGTACCTGAAAAGCTTTTAAATCATTATAGAGTTTCTTCTGTGGCAATTTTACAAGTTTTCTTCTATTCCAAAAAAAAATTATATAAAAACAAATATTTTATCCAAGTGATCGCACCAATATCGAACTTATTCAATGAAATTGCTTTTGATGCTTCTTTCACTCTAATATTTTTTATTGATGTTTTGAATCGAATAGCCGTGAGAATTAAGACTTATCTCTATTCGATATAAATAACATTACATCAGAAATTTTATAAAGATTTTTAATAATTACATTTTATTGTTAAAAATATTTGTTCAAAATTAAAATTGCATATTAAATTATTGCAAAATAAATTAGAAAGGATTTCATCGACTTCTTATCTTATATTATCTGTAAGCAATAAGCATTTAGCATTGACTTTTACAGATAAAATATTAAATACTAACTAACAGATAGTAAATGTTATTTGAATTTTGAAGATAGAAAGACCTACCCTACCCCAGCCTGCAAATTTATGATATTTGCAATGAAAAAAATACTAATCGATAGATTTTCAATAGCTCAATTTAACTACGTAGCCCTTTCAAATTGCTCACCTTTAATTATTTAATTAAAAATCAATAAAGTCTTTGAAAAAAAATTAATTTATCTGTATATTCAAACTCCTATATCTTTTGATGTATACAATATTTCAAATTGCTCAAAGTTCTAAAACACTGCTCAAGTTGCATTTGTAATTGCTCAAGTAGAGTTTTTACCAGCTCCATCTTGTATTGATGTTAATAACATTTTACTAATGATCCCTGTCATGGCTATTACCTTAATAGAATAAGCATTTGAACATAAGATTTTGTCTTAATTTATCTGTTGGTATTAATTTTCATTTATTGGTAGATTCCAGATCTGTTCTTTATGTTATAATATCTGAAGTGGAATCACGTAATGTGAACAATTCATAAATTCAATAAATTTAAAGAAATCCACCGAGAAACAGAATTAAGACGTTGAATTGGAACGATTGTCCAAGCCCGCCGAGGCCGACCGACAATGCGCGGTGCGCATGCGCACGCTCACTTAACCTACGTTACATTTATTACAACTATACTTTTAATTATTTAATAATCAGCGAAAGTGGAGCTGGTAAAAACTCTACTTGAGCAATTACAAATGCAACTTGAGCAGTGTTTTAGAACTTTGAGCAATTTGAAATATTGTATACATCAAAAGATATAGGAGTTTGAATATACAGATAAATTAATTTTTTTTCAAAGACTTTATTGATTTTTAATTAAATAATTAAAGGTGAGCAATTTGAAAGGGCTACGTAGTTAAATTGAGCTATTGAAAATCTATCGATTAGTATTTTTTTCATTGCAAATATCATAAATTTGCAGGCTGGGGTAGGGTAGGTGATAGAAAGTATGTACTTTTATAACAAAATAATTTAGCTATTGTGTCTGTTATTATAAAATCATAAAAATTTTCGAACCTTTACCAGCTGTACATTTTTGCTCAATTTGTATGATAATTTAAGTAATATATAAATAGTACGTGTGCTGAAATGTTCTAAAACTACTTCATTTTTAAAGTAGCTCCATATTAAAATTGCAGAAAAGGTGAATTTGAAGACTGGGCAGATGAAATGGCAAGAAAAGGATTATTCCAATCTGTACCAAAGGAGTCTCTTATAGATAATCAGCAGAAGAAGAATAAATATATTTAATATTTGGTTTTATATAAATAACAAATTTCTTCCCATTAACTCTAGTGTTTTATTATTTTTAATTTTTTTAGTTTCCCTACCTGGCTCGTTCAAAATGCAACATTTAAAAAATATGTAATTGTTACTTTGTTCGGCGTTTATAAATGGCACAATTAATTATAGGTTTAATGTTTTTTTTTTTTCATAATATAAAGTAATATTTTGTTTAAAGTGATAATTTAATTTAAAGTGATTTTATTTTTTAATTATATTTACATATATCAACAGGAAGTGATTCGTGTCCTCACGTTTCATGGCGGCAGCCAATTGAATTCGTCTATATTATTATAAAAACATGGAGATTACATTCTACACCAATCAGAGAAGCTCTGCAGTGGAGCATGAAAGTTTAAATGTATGACTTTGTAAGGGAGTTCTAAAGTAATTTGATTTAATATTTTTAGTGAGAAGTCTACTAAAAATATTAAATGTGCTTAGTTTCTACAATTTTATATGTTATTTAACATTATCAATATTTTATGATATTTAATACTTTATTTTTAAGAAATTAATTTTCCTTAATCGTACTTCGTGTTAAAGCTACGTCACGTATGTTTGTCTACTTCGAGTCAATGCGCATGTCAAGTTGAAAATTGCAAATGGCGTCCGTTGTTATTGTTCGTACCGAATAACTATTTGTAAAATATATACTAATCTTTTTAGCGATTTTTCTAATGGACTGATAAACTGATGCGATGTTTTAACTTCTTATGATTCGGCGCGACACGTTTTATGTACGTTTTTATGTGTTTTGAGTGTTTTTTCCGAAATCTATGTGTGTCATGCAAATGGGGTAAGCTGGAATTATCGGATGTCGCTTAGGTTGTTTTGGATAGTTTCAATGAGAAAATGGAGTGAAGTTCTGTGACCTTAAGTGTGAAAATGAAACCTGCATAAAGTTTATTTATTAACGCGTTAAGTTTAGAGCGAAACGTGAGACGGGAACGGCAGTAATTTACTAATGTTCCATGCCGTGACTGCACTCCCCGTACATTTCAAAATGGCTGCTGCTCTTCACGATATATGAGCTTTGCGTCACTGAAACATAAATCAGTGGTTTTAATTCGTGAAGAAATTCGCGTGTTTCTAGTCGGGTGATCCCATGTGAAAACTCGAATTTAATCAACGGACAGTGCCCCGGGAGAACCTGGGGCGGGACAATAGTGGCGTATCATATGTTTTGGCAGTAGTGGACACTGAGTGACCATAGGACCGATATTGCCTTGCGTCCGAGCCGGATTGTAATGTTGCGCTTCATTTTACAGGATGATTTGGGACACGAGACAATAGAACTTGTGTGTTATTGAGCGGAATGTGACATTGTATGATAGGTAAGTTGATTTTTTTCGTTTATTTACATTTTGTGTGTTGTGTGCGGGTGTATGATGTTGCGAACAAAATGGACACATTGGGGGTGACAGCAGGTCGACCGGCGGCGGCGGACGTGCCCCGTGCGGTGGTTGATCAAATCGCCTCGCGTAAGCGTAGACTTGCGATGAAAATACTGAAATACGTAATAAAAAAGTTGTGTAACACTCAACGATGTTTTGCCGACCTTGTTGGTCAAAAAGGAAATATTTCATGTAAAAAGCATTTCGTACGGTCAATTTATGATTTTGATATAGAAAACACATTTCCACAACTTGTAATTCGTAATAGAGGTTATTATTATTACCAGTCTTATTGGCATGGTACTGTTTGTCAATAGTAGTAGCACTATGAACCTAAAGCTAGGTTATACTGGACAATTAATTTACATATTGAGTTGGATAACTTATTAAATTACATTATTAATTCCATACATAATATATCTATAATATATAACTATTTAATTATATTAATTATTAAATGAAATTTACAGCTTTTTTTTTAATGTTGCAAGTTTTAAATTCTTTTTCTTTTGATTTTTACTGACTATTATTAAAATTTATTTCTGGATGTTATTTCATTTTATAAATTAATAATTTTAATTTAAAGTTTTTATAGATATTTTTTTGTCATTTATTGTTATTTTTTCATATTAGGTACTAAGTACTGTTTTTAACGTGAAGGGTTATTAAATTATAAAAATAAGGATGTTTTACATAATTAATTCTATTAATTCAATGAATTCCTTATTTTATGTCTATATCATCATTATTATCATATAATAACAAAAAAACTGAATAATTTAGTTCATACATTTCTTTAAGTATACATAAAAAGAGGTTAATAAGCATAGACAACAAAATTTTTATATTTATATGTCTATGTATTGTTTATATTTTTACCACAAACTTTCTTCTAAATAAAAAATATTTTAACAATTTATTCACTTTTGTATAGTTTTAGAAATAACGGCAATCAATTCAGTCCTATTTCATCACTTTATAAGATAATTATTTATATGTATGTACATTTGTTGTAGTTTTTATCAGCTTTTTTGTTACATCATTTATACTTTAGTATCTATTGTACTTAACATATGTATATATATATATATTAAAATAAATTGCACCCAAATAAGTACATTTCTTAAGAAATGACTTATTTTTTTTTATTCTTACTGCAAAAAATATATTTGACAGTATAAGAAATGTTGATGTGTTTTAGTACTTTCACAAAAACTACTTTTACTTTTTGCTTTTTTTTTAATTTTTATTAGCATATTGAGTATCCATTTAGTTATAATAAACTATACCCTATCCTAACAATCTAAACATAAAAAGGAATAAGAGGATATTTTGCAATATAATTTAATTGCATATAACAAATGTTACCGAAGTGATAACTTTATTACATATCAAATTTTATAAGTATTCCCTAGTGAAAAGTTACTTATTAATTACTTCTAACAGTTATTTCTCATTGTAGAACTAAATCTATAAGATATATAAGTATTTGTTTGTAGTTAATATTATAAGGAAGTATACACAGAGTTGAAAGCTTAAAGATTGTAAGAAAAAAAATAATAGCTTGTAATTTCATATTTATATATAGTGAAAAAACATAATAAGAAATTCATTTAAAATTCATCACGTTTAAGGTTAAAAAATTACAATATAGTTTATTGTTCATCATGAAATGGCAATACAGATTATAAAATAAACATTAATAAATATTTTTTATTTATATACCTTTTGATGAAAATGACTATTTCAAGTACTTGTTTGTTTGAAAGTGCATAAACATTTTACTAGATAATTAGAGATTTAGTTCTCATTAATTAATTATTTTTGTACATTATATTATTGTGTCATTTTAGAACTTATATTTCAAATTATCATGAAAAAAATCTATATATTTTTTTCATCATACATCATATGCCTGTCAAACTTCATTTTTGTATTACTCATTGAACATTAAAATATGTATTATTTATGGGTCTTGCATGTTTTTATATTTATATTACTATTTAAATAAATTCTATTTTTATTTTAAATATAAAGTTGTTGAAATTTCTTGATTATATTATGCTTATCTATACAGATAAATAAAATTGAAGTATCTGTTTGTTATGTCAAAATAATAGCTTTTTACTAAATGCATATGAAATTTTATATGGTAGTTATTAGAAAATCACAATTTTATAAATTTATGTCTGTCTGTTTGTTCTGGCTAATCTCCGAAATTGCTGGACTGATTTTGACGGGACTTTCACTGATATATAGTTGATGTTATAAGGAGTAACTTAGGTTACTTTTATTTTAGAAAAAGAATTAGGGTTCTGCTCATAAAAATTAAAATGTATATAGATACACACACGAGCGAAGCGAGGGTAGGGTAAATCGCTAGTAATAGATAAATTGCTGTTATATTATTTTTTACCGCTAAACACAAATTAAAATTTAATAGAAATGACCAACTCAATTTAAGAATATATTTGAACATATTATGGTCCAGGATACTGATTCAAAATTCTGAAAAAAATATATAATATAAATTACAAAACAATACATTTCGTTATTTATTTTTCAGAAATGACTAATCTATATTTAATTTATTTTTAACAGATCTGTATCTTTTTTTACAGTATGGCAGCGGACAGCGATGGGCTAGGCACGGCGGGCGGCGGCTCGTGCGGCGTGGTGGTGACGTGCGAGGGCGATTTGCGCGATCCGCGGTTCCCCGCGCGTCTGCGCCGCCTGCTGCGTGAGCTGCGCGCCTTACTCGCCGAGCCGCATCCGCACACGCTCAAAGTTAACAAGGTATGGTTGTTTGTCTGTCTATTTGTGTGTGTGTTTTATTGTGTTTAGTTTATTGGGTTTGGAGGGAAATCCTATGTTCTCGTTTTATGTACGCTAGTGCCCTTTAAAGTGTAGTGTTTATGTTTTGAATTGTACTAGGTACAATAATTAAGGAGATTTTCATAAAGAATATGGGGTTTAGAGTTTTTTTAAGTTTATTTTTTATAGATTAATTATAGGCAGGAAGCTTAGTTGGGCTCATAACTAATATGAATGTATGTTAGTACGCACATTATTTTTGTCGGGCTATACGTAATTATATAGTAAGAGTGGGCTTTTACTTGATATATCTATTGAAGTTGTAATTGCGAGTTTCCAGTGATATTTTATAGAGCCCTGACACAATACAGGTACTTGAGTGTGTAGAATTTTTAAACCCCTGACGCAAAAACGACGAGCTGTTATAAGTTTAACGTGTCTGTGTGTGTCTGCCTGTGGCATCGTAGCTCCCGAACGGATGAACCGATTTTGATTTGGTTTTTTTTTGTTTGAAAAGTGAAGTAGTTGGGTGTGTTCTTAGCCATAGTTGATGAAAATCGGTTCAAGATTTTTTGTAATTCTTAATTTATCACTTGTTAATTTGCACCTTGTTATAATAGTGTAACTAACTTTTTGCTGAATTTTTGCTAACTTAATTTTAATTAACTTTTACTACTTTCGACTTCGAAAAATATTTTATAGATATCACAAAGATATTCTTTTTCTAACATAACATATCGATTTTAAGTCATAAGCAATACTAAAATGCTTTATGTTAATCTTATTAGGTAATTAGATTTTTCCAGAGTAAGAAATAAATATAACACTTTTGTTGATCATTTGTTTTTGTATGCTATAATTGTATTTTATAATTATTATTAGGTTCGTTGTATAGAATATAGATTTGAACTTAGTGAATCGATTTTTAATTGATCAATTATAATCGGTATGGAGAAATAATTAATTGTACTTTTAAAACAGTTTATTAAAGGTAATATTATTCAGCAGTCACCAATATAATTGATAATAATGATGATTATTATTATGATTATTTTCATTATATAATTATCATCAATGTTTGTTTTTAATTTATTATTTAATTATAAAATAAATATTCTAAGACATTTGTTATAATCCATCTACATTTTTAATAAAATGTGAAATAAATAAAACCTGTGTAACTCCAATCTCCATACATAGCTCATAGTTTAAATACTGTCTGTCAGTTTGGGTTTCCCCAGGATAGAATAAAATTAGGGTCTTTTTTTAACTATTTATCCTGAAATTAGAAAGGTCTTTGTGAGAAAAATATTCAAATTATATGAGTTTTTCTTTACCATGAAATGTAGTGTCTCCTTAGTTAATAATAAATTAATAATTAAAAATCAACATTAATGCATGTTAAGTATTATTGAATAAGCTGTATAGTTTACAGTAGAAAGTTTGATTATTTTAATTTAAAATGTCTATAGTATACATATAGTATTTTTGATTTGGTAATATAGAAAAACAGTCATATCTAATGTAGGTAATTTGTATATATACAAAAGTCGGTCCCACGGGAATCGACATATTTCCGGAATAAAAAGTAGCCTATGTGCTATTCCAGACTATAATCTATCTCTGTACCAAATTTCATCCAGATCCGTTCCGACTTCTGGCGTGATTGAGTAACAAACATCCAAACATCCACCTAAACTTTCACATTTATAATATTAGTAAAATTTGTCAACGAATAATGAGTTGTTAATGAGTAATGACATTTCGTTTCTTCTTTAAGACTTTAATTCTTTAAATTGTCATATTATTTGATTATATCATTAAAAAATCCATCATTTCATTGTAATTGTTAACTGGCCGTGTAATAATTACAGTAATTACATAGATATCCAAATAATTTGTGTAGTTTTGATATGTTCTTGTCCTTCATTCTTTATAAATAATATTGAAGTGTGACCTTATTATTGTTTGCTACGTTATATACGACCACGGGATTTCTTTGATTTACCCGAGCTAAAAATATTTGGTTACTCTCTTGCATATAAACTTGCCATATACAAAAAATGTTTCATGTTGCCGCTTAGAAGAAGAAAAAACAAACAAACCCATTTTCACATTTACTAGCAGAACAAGCGGCTTCGCTCTCGCTAAAACTGCAAAAAAAACTCTAAAAAGGTAGTTTCATAGAAACTTTCATCCCCTATTTTATCCTCTTATAGGATGAATTTTGAAAAATGCTAAAACACGTATTATTTAATTTTATTGAAGAGCATTAATATCCAGTTTCAAGTAATTCTGATCATAAATGTTTTTTTTTTTGGATTGTAATATAATGTGTTCTCCCGTGGGAATTAAATAATCTTCCGAGGTAAAAAGTAGCTTATGTCACTCTCCAGCGTTCCAACTATCTCCATAGAAAAAATCACGCCAATCCGTCACTCCGTTTCAATGTGAAAGAAGGACAAACAAACAAACACACGTTCACATTTATAATATTAGTATGGATATAGATCAGTACCTAGCATATAAATGCCAGGTACGTTTTAACGGTTAGACTATATTATATTATGCGATATATTATATATATAGCCTATAATGGCCTTGCTCAATAAACAGGCTAATTTAAAAAGATTTTTCAAATCAGATTAATATTTCGTGAGATTAGCGCGTTCAAAGTAATAAACTATGTCTCTTTATAATATTAGTATAGACTAGTTTTTGTCCGCGGTTCTGTTCGCTACATTCATAGAAAAATAAACTTTATTTGTCAAGGCTACCGTACGATTCTATTAGTAGATATTTAAAAAAAAAATTCCAAACGTTATTCTCTAAAAATAAAAAAAAGGAAAAAATAATATATTGAATAGATATGTAATAATGATTATTCGGTGAAATAAGTTTGTTTTAACAAAATTAATCACCTTATGATAATATCAAATATGACATAGCAGGTAAATGATAAATTGATGTATAAACCCTATTCATACATGGAAAAATTGTGCTTTGAGTTTTTTACTCAAATATAGGAAAAAGTGTCGTGTTATTAGTGGCTCTGCTACCGTTAATTATAGTTATGTTAAAATTTAACTGTATGTTTGGTTTCTCTTGAAAAGCAGATAAATAAATTTATTTCTGTTTCACTGGCCACTAATAAAATAAACATATAACCAGGTGCTTAATCTCTATTGCCTGATCTTCCTCGAATTAGGAGGCCCGTGTCCAGCAGTGGGACGCTTAAAACCACAAACCAGGTGCCTAACAAAAGCCTATCTGTGTACTAAATTTCACCCAATACTGTCCAGCCAATTTAGAGTAAAGGAATAACAAACATACACTCAGCTAGTTCAGACTAAAATAATGTATCCCGCGGGATTGCTCGATATATCTGGATAGTACTTTATATCAGTTTCCCGCCCTATTTAACTACGGTAGTGTGAGTGAAGGATAACTTTAATCAACATTATTTTTACATTAATTCCATTAAGAATGACGAAACGAAGTTTTTGATATCGACAGATAAGCAAACCCACTACTTGACCGGCTTAATGACCTAAATAACATATAATCCTCTACACCGTCTAGCTTAGCAGTTAACTGAATGTGTATGAAAATTTTAAATTATCGGTATTATGTCCGTATATTATCGTCAATTTTGGTAGATTTAGAATGATTTCCTTTGAGAAATTGTTTATTTATTTATATATTTATATTCTTGCTTCGCAGAGTTCTGACAGTTAAGTTTCAACCTTCAAAACTTTTTTCTTCATATATTGGTATTATTTTACTTTACACTAAAAAAAGTATCTCCGGTAAATAAACTTATAAAAAGCTCATCGATACGTTGCTGCGTAAACAACTAAACAACAAACGAATTTGGTATTTATAATGTTACTAGCGGCTCATCCCCACTTCGCTCGGGTTCACTTCTAAAAAAAACAAAAACAAATCTATCCCACGGGAACCGTACATTTTTCTTTCATCTCATTATACATCTCTGTGCCAAATTTCATCCAGATCCGTTCAGCCGTTCTGGCGTGATTGAGTAACAAACATCCATCTAAACTTTCGCATTTATAATATTAGTAAGATAATAAGATCGTTTCTGAAGTGGAATATGAACTTGTAACTGATTTGACAAAATACGTTCAATAACTAGTAAATATAAATTATCTATATTGCCAGTTCACGTTTTGTGTCTAACGTTAAAAATACTAATAAAAAATATATAGCGTAAATAAAAACAGCGCGCGTTATAAATGGACGTGTAATACATATATCGCCAATGTTAAAACCGTCCTGAACTTCGCGCGGTTCATTGCGCAGTAGATTAATTTTACGTATCTGAGAAAAACACGAGAGTGATTGGCGATTGGTAATGTTTAATGGGATCTACATGCGCAAGTTTGAATTCGTTGCTAAGTTCAGAGCAGTCAAAATAGTTTTAATGTTAAACTATAACAAATGCTAGCTTATGGCTACAACGAGTAGATTCTGGCTATGTACAGATTAGATAAGGCAAAATAAAATATTTTATGCCCTTATTAAAACTATAAATAGCCTTTTTAATGGGATAATAAAAAAATCATGCTGTTGCAAAATATGTCTTGCTAGCTCTATTTACAGCGACATCAAGAGTTCGATTTCCGTTTGGAGTAAAGTTTTTTTTTAATAATCCACACACTGAGCACCGAGTCTGTTGAGTCTGAACTAGGTGAGTTCTGACTTCTGCCTATAAAGTTAAAAGAGATTTTATAGCATTTGTTTTATACATAAGAAGTTCGCGCATACAAACGCTGTGTCGCTAATAATGACTATTACGCAGTCATTTACTGCGTACTTCAGAGTGGTATATTTATTATACGTATACTACATCTTGACTTCTCTTTCTGTTTGTTTGTCCACTTCACAAAATTATACTTTTAGAAATCAGAACAAAACAAATTCAACTGAAATGAAACTTAAATATAATATAATACTGATGTGATTTTAGAACGATAAAATATAGATAGATAGCTAGCTAATATAACCGACAGTTTTAGCGCATGAAAGTTCGCTATGAAAATTGGTATTTTTAGACCTTTAGAGCATTTCCGTTAAAATCAATAGCCGGATCGCCTACTTCGTCTATTTTTATATTGTGCCTGCATTAAGTGTCCTAACAATACAACATTTCCAGGTGGAGCCCTGGAACTCGGTGCGCGTAACGCTATCGGTGCCTCGAGCGGCGGCGGCGCGGCTTCGAGCGCTAGCCGCCGCCGGAGCTCCCCAACTGAGGGCTTTGGGCATCCTTTCGGTCCAGCTGGACGGGGACGCGGCCGTCTCCCTCCGACTGCAGCATGGGGCCGAACTGAGGATCAATACTGATGGTGATGGTAAGTCCATTTGCGTCTATGGATATGTGGGAAAGCATGGATGAGTTGTATGAAAGACGGTATGAGTAAAGGGAAGTTAAGTCAATATGATGAATGATAGATATGACTGGAGGAAAGGTACTTACGGTGCCGATCCTACATAGGCGGGATAATAATGATGGGATTTAAACATGGAATATCCCACGGGAAAGTGATGTGCTGAGTTAATCGCGTTGTCCAGTCCCATGATTAAATGTCCTTAGGGGTAAAGTTTCGCAGTGTTTTTTTTAATTTATAATCTGTATTGCTTCTAAATTAAGACAAAGTGTAATTTGTTTTTATTAAGAAAATAATTATTGAAAAGTGCAAGAATAGATGGGAAATTGAAAGTATTTGAAACGCAACGCCATTGGCCAAATCGAACGTAACGTTACTCTATTATAACGGAGCGCTGTTGTTTGGTGTTTGCGATTGGTACTAACAATCTAGATCTGTTCACTCGTTGATTGCAACGTTGTCATAGACTGTGACGTCACACCAAGCGTGCCAAAATGGTTGGCGTTTAAAGTGTGTATGATATTGTTAATTTTTTTTTTATAATAAATTTTAGTTTTTTTGAGCTGGTTATTTTTTTACAATTATATAACGATGTTAAAAAAAACATGCATATTCCTTATCGTGCAACGATAGGTACGCTAGTACACAAGGTGTTTGCATTTATTTTGAGCGTGACACACTCGTTCTGTCATGTTGTCAACAGCTCAAGCCGGAAGACCGGTTTTGTCAACGGACAGCGCGAACATGAACTGATCGATTAGTACGCACGCACAAATTGTCGCATTATGTATGTTATGTTGTAATGTATAACTCGCGTCATCTAAAAAGAAGATTTATCGGTCAAATTGGTGGTAAGAGATGGGGCGCGGGTCGGCTCGGGGCGGCGGGCACGCGCCGCATGCTTGCCGGCGCGCTATTGGTTCGTCAATTCGATATACCATCGCGCACACAATTGTATTTAATTACGAAATGATTTTATATATAGAAAAGAGAGAAAAATTATTTTTGACGTATATTGTTTTATAAAGAGAGAGTCTACACTGAATCAAACATATTTTAAAAATCATTAGATTTCTATTTAATGATATTCTATCTAATATATTTTTCAATGCCCCTACGAATAACTAATATATGAAGACGCGAGCGAAATGCAATGAAAAAATAAAATAATAGGCTTAGTACTTTTGTGCGCGAGTATACCCATGCGCAAACATACCTCCTCCACTTTCTTCCAGCGTTCTTTTTACAAGACGCGAGTTATACCTATCGTTGCACGATATAGGGATACTTATTCATATGATCCAATCAAGTAAACACACATTCACAGTAACCTAACACACTTTTGTAATTGTATTTTATATCACATCCATATTTGGCAGGAAGTAGGAAATATAAATTTAGACTCTAAAAAAATATCAATTTGATGGAAAGAAAACGAGATAGAATTACGTTTTTAATGTTAGTTTGTACTTTTTAAGTACTGTTTTTCTGTTTGTTAAAATTATTGCAAACCGCTCATAAAATAGTAATTAAATTTACAATTTAATTCTCTGTTTTATGGCATCTACGAGTGCCGGTTGGGTAGAAAATAACTTGACCCATACAGTGATACAATTATATTGTCAATTTTAATTGTACATTGATTTTATTCATACGAGTGCAACATATGTTTTATTGGTAACTAACGATTTACTCTCGCTTCGCTCGGGTACGTTTTAATTTTTTTTTTTTTAATTTTAAAAAAATGTTTTCCTGCTAATCGTTATTTTAGATAAAAGATTTTTTATATATTAATTTTTAATTCAATGACAATAGTTTTATCTGTTAACTATCTCTTAGAACTATCTCTTAGATTAATCTGAATATTTCTTGTAAATCTTATTTGTCTTTAGTTTGGTAATATGTATTTTTTTTAAATAAATTCTTTATATATTTAATTTACATGAAAAACGCATTTACCACATCGATGTTTTGAAATATAAAATTTTAATTCTAATTTTACTTTTTCTATATTACGTGTTTGCCACAGCATCGATCTTTAACCTATATCGTCTTTTATGAAATGAATATCTTTAATTATTCTATAGCAATACTGAATGGTCAAATCTCATAAACACGTGTAACCTTATAAAATTCCAGAAGCCAGCACATCAAGGTCGCAATCGAGCGAATTACTGGCGGGCCTCGGTGGTATAGGTCGACTGATATCCGACGAGGGTGCCTCAACCAGTTCTGAACCAGCGCAGAACTTCAAGTCTCCCAACACCGTATGCCCAATGGATGGCAAGATACCCCAAAACATTCCCACACCGACCACCGATAGATGCGAGTTCCCGTTCGGCAGTATGACCCAAGCGAGAGTTATACACAGGAAGGAGAATACTTTAGGTGAGTTTAAACAAACACATATGTACACAAAATTTTCCACAAACACATACACACAGTTTACAGAAATATACACAAACATACTAGTACAGAATTTAAAGCCACCTACATAATGGATGATAAATGTAGCACAATTTTCTTTTACAGTTAGTTGCGAGGTTCCCTTTAGAATTATAACCACAATGTGGCTATAATCAAATACACATTTAGTTTCGCACAAACTTATATGCATATAAAAGATACACAAATAGAAATATGCACAAACAGTGACAAACACTTACACAACATTTTCTGCTCTTCCCCATTTACAGCACCAAATGTGACTCCATATATTTATATTTGCATCTTGATTGCTTTAACGGGAATATAATTTGCAAAATCTCATGATATATATGGAAATGAGTCAGGTCATTAATGTTATCTTTGCTCTAACAATGGAGTATATAAGAAAATTGCAAAAGTAATAATAGTTGTTAACTTCTCATGAAGGGCTATTAACAATTAGCATAATAGTTTTTTACAAGTGTTAAATAATAATCGGCTGCTCAAACAAATTAACATGCTGAATAGGTCCTATGTTGAAAAACGACTTTCTCTCGACAAAAAATAATTGTTAAACAACATTTGTGTACTTATCATATATAATTGATGATTTTATGGAAAATGGCACGCCTTGGAAATGAAGTGATAGCTTCCAAGTGCTGTAGAATTTTTGTGTAACTTATAATTTTACTTACAAAAAAATATAAAATAATAGTTTTAGCCCCGCTGAGTTTCTATCGCCAGTTCTTCTCAGGTCTGAGGTCTTTTCGAACTGGTGGTAAACTCATAACCTTCAGTAAACAAATTTTTATAATTTAATGCATGAATAAAATAATTTTAATTTGAAGAAATATGACACAATGTGTAATAAGTATATGAATATAAATTCTTGTTTTCTGGCTCATATCAATTATTACATAATTTTGACAGTCTTCAAAGAGGAGGACGTAGTTAATTTGTTTCTATGGTTTTTTATGTGTATGTTACGCGATATATAAATGCGAGTAGGAAATATGCGTGTGATTTAAATAAAGGTGAAATATTTTTTTTATAATCTTGATTGCTTTTGAATTAAGCCTTTATTAATATTTTTTTAATGTAATTTCTTTTTGATTAAGAAAATAATTATTAAAAATTGCAAATATACGTAGGTAATTCGAAGTAGTTGAAACGCAAAGCCATTGGTCAGACCGATGTGATGTCTATAATAACAGAGTTAACTAAATTTTAGTCTTGAATTTTTTATTACAATCACATAACGATGCAAGCTAGTGTATAAAAAATATTGTAAAAAAAATCACGCATATTACCTATTGTAGACTAAGAATTATTTATATTTTTTTTAATTAATGAGCTTTACATTAAGGATGATCTCATTTGAATTTCAAAAAAATCGTTCTTGTTGAATAATTAATTTTAAGTGATTTGAAACATGATTATTTAAAGTACATTTATATAGTTTTTAATAATAACATTTCTTGTAAAATTTTACGAGAGCATTGAGAATAAAAATAAAACTCCATATTATATGTATGTAATTATCGGTTTGCATTAAAAAAAACAATAATTCAAACAATCATTTTATCACTTACAGGTATAGGCGGATGCGCAAACACACTCAGACCGAGTAACTCGGAACAATTCGCGCGACCGTCCACCTCGTTCACGGGACCGCCTCCTCCCTACCCGGCTTCCTCGACCCCCACACCCCCACCTCCCTCCCCCGCCCCCACAGTGGCCATGTCATCCCCCCTGCTAGTGAACCTGCTGCAAAATGATGCACCAGCACCCCAACCCAGGCCCAAACCAGCTAACCCGGCTAAGTTGGATAGGCTCGAGGATTCGCAGGTATAGTATATTGAATTGGTACATGGAATTGGTGGCCGTTATGTGATATAGATTTGTATGTGAGTGGGTGTGTGTGTATGTTTGTTACACCTGAAACGGCTGAATGGATTTCGATGAAATATAGTACAAATAGACTGACCTGGAGTAATGCATAGGCTTCTGTTAGCCATCTTGTTGTCGGTAGTTATTTTATATTCCAGTATAGAATGTATTTATTGGCTAAATGGTATCTATGTCTGAGCCTAATTTCATTGAGATTTGGTTGGCGGTTCTACAGATTTACTGTACAGACACAAACTTACATACTAATTAATGATGTCATATTTTTATATTATAATATATAATGCGCTTATAGATAGATGTTAATGCATTTATACAAAACCAATTTGTTTTTATAACTAAAAAAACTTATCACTTTCATCAGGTGGAGTTAGCGGTGGGACGCGCATTCGAATACCGCGGTGGTCGGGCGACCACGCCTCGTCCGGCCGTGCCCAGCCCGGCCCCCACTCCCCGACCTCCCCCACGGCCCGCGCCGTTCATACGCCGTGCTTTTCCCCCTCGACCCGCACCAACTCAGTACCGTGCACCCGCCCCTAACGCAACAGTGGTAGCACGAGCAAGGTTCCCCGCCCCCTCGTACAGTACAGAGACCTTCCCCGCACCCCCGCCTCCCCCCTATAGGCAAGCCGCCCCTAGACCGAGAACCCTACCACAGAGAGTCACCCCGGAGGATCTCCAAGCACTACTACCACCTCCTACCACTTCGATGGACCAAAAGACGCAGTCGAGTTTCCAGGTACTATACATGTTTAATATCAAAATCAATGAAATGAAAATATTTAACAATAAATGAAAATATCAAACCATCAATATTATTATTTTACGTGGTAAATTATTTTAGAATAAGTTTTTAAATATGTGTTTATATGATTTCAGGAATTCCAGAGGTATCAACAACAGTACAATGCGAGGCAGAGAGCGGCATCACGCGCGGCGTCGCAGCCTGACTGGAATGAGCCCTATCGGGACACTCTGGGCCTGTCCATACCCGATCTGTCCGATAACTGCGATCTCGACCAGTTATTGCCGACCCTAGGAGCGGACCTAAACCTCGACGACTCAACTCTATCGGCCATATCGGATCTAGACACGAACTCCAAGTTAGACCTTCTGTACGACTCTCAGCAAGAATCCCTACCCAACTCGACGGAATCGACTCCGGACTCCCTCCTCCAAGAAATCACCGGCGGTCAGTACCCCAGTGCGACCCTAAATGGGCCGTACAACTCTGAAATGACTCCAACGACGAGTCAAACGAACGTGAATAGTGATGTGCCTTCAAAACCCGCGGAATCGTTCGACGCGAATTCAGAGACGGCTTTCATGCCGCCGCCCCCCGTGCCTCCGCAGTCGACGTCTAAGTTCCATGTGAACTCCCCAAACCATACAATAGTTAATACGCAACATCCTCCCTTCAAATCGCCCCCAAACGCCACGTATACGTCGCCTAGTATAAATTCGGATAGATCGATGGATAGGAGCACAAACCAGTCGTCGTCCATGCCGCCTCCCATGCGACTGCCGATAAGGCCGAGTGCGTCGGTGTCGACGGCCACGGTCGGCTCTCAAGCCACGGCGCAAGAGATTGAGGAGCAAAGCAAGCAGTACCTGATCAAAACCCTCATGAGGGATGACGACACTCCACCACCCAAGGAAGAGAAGAAAATCGAAGAAGTAACTGTAGCGCAATGTAAACTCAAAGAAAACTCCTCAGACACTACACCAGAAATATTCGGTATCGCAAAAACTATAGAGGATGATAGCAAAAAGGAGGAAGAACTAAAGAAAAATAAGTTGGTTAAGAAGGACAAAGATGATAAACTGCTGGCGCAGAAAGGGGGCAAGCCCAGGACAGGTGGAGCGAAAGAGAAACCTGCCACTTTGAAAGACAAGATAGTGAGGGATGGAAAGTCTACCAAAGTTGCCTTACCGCGACAGCACGTCGCGAAACCTGCCACTCCCACGAGCGAAGCGCCGAAATCGCCTTCGGGGGAAAAGGAATCGTTGAAGTTGAGGCTAAAACTGGGCAAGAACGAGCCCGTCGTTCAGCCCGTGCATAAAGCTGATGTGAGCTTCATCAATCAACAAGCGAAAGGAGAGAAACCTATAGAGGGTGAACTCCGAGTACCGCCCCTACATATCAGCCTCAGAGGTCGAAATTCAGCAGTTATAAAGAACTCTAAGAAGGAAAAGAAAAAGATGATCCCCGGTGATCTTCACTTAAAGAAAATCAAAATAAGAAAATCACTGGATTCAGAAGATAAGTCTCACAGAAAGGACTCGGAGGAATCCCTCGCGTCGAAGTCGGGAGACAGTACTGAAAACTCAAAGACTGATGGAGTTTTACAAGTTAAAAACATAAAGCTAAACAATCACTTTGTCGAAGGTGAGAGTATCAAAACTGAGATCACCGGCGACAACAACGTCGTGTACAGAATGAAGACGTTGTCCAAAAATGCCCATATAGTGACGAAATCGCACGACTTAAAAGTCACTAACAAAGTCCATAACAGTTTAAAAGTTAAGACGAAATTAAAAGTTTTAAGCGGTAGCGGTAAAACGACGGAGAGATGTAAAGATTGGAGAGACGCATTGCTGGCACAGGACGGCAAATACGCGCAGAACGAGGGCTACAGAGAGACGTCGAACAACCACGAAGCTAAAAAGAAGTTACCTACTAAAGTGGAGAAAGACGGTGCAAAATGTGATATAAAGTCCAGTGAAATGAAGATGGACGCGAAATTTGGTGAAGTGAAATCTGGTGCTAGTGATTTGGACGGCAGGTTGTTAAAGTGTCATAAAAGTCTTGAAAGAACGCTAAGTGTCGATGAGGAGAGTAAGTTCGACCGCGACGAGAACAAACTGAAAAGGACACATACTGACTGCGCTATAACGTCGCCCAACGGGCTCATCTCCTCTGAGAAAAAGAGGAAAACCAGTCATAGTTCCTGTACAGGTATGTATGTCAACTTGCAAGTGTAAGTGTACGTAGGAAACTTAAATAAGTTAATTATTTGTAGGCGACAATTGTGTTTTCGTTAGTATTTTTTTTTATGTTATTGGAACAAAGCTAAATTGGAATATGATGTGTTCAGGCATTGTATGTCGAGAAATTTGAAGTACAAAAGTAAATTATGTATATAGTAATAGATATTTATGGACCAAATCATTTTTTTTACCATTACCATTTGCCTTTCTATGTATGATGTTATAGTGGAATTGGACTTCTAGATATAAATATATTGAAGTTATTGTATTGTACATTGTAAATTATTCGTTTATATTGAGAAAAAAATAAACTTATATGACTCAACATTAGTAATCATTTTATTTTGAATCATTCAAAATTGATCTTACCGGCAATGTTAACAATTTTCTTCCACAAACTAGAAATACGAAATTGTCATAAAAATAAAAGTTTTAACTTAAATAATGATGATGAAGTCATCTTAAGCCCTCTCCTTTAATTCAACAATAGATCATCCATTCATAAATACCTATCCCATAACTAAATAACTTATGTTTGCGTTCCAGATCCCCCTGGTTCGACAAACATAGGCACAATAGGCGGTCGCGTGGACTCGCCGCCCGCCGCTAGTCAGCGCTCCGGCGCAGTGTCCCCGCGCCGGAAGGACAGGCCCAAAGACAAGACCTATTGCAAACTCGTCGCGGAGAGGACCAGGCCCGACGACAAGTTCGGCAACCGGTCCCCCAACTCCCAGGCACAAGGCGAGGACTCCGGGATAGAATCCATGGATGCCCTATCCGAAAAATCCCCAAACCAAGCCAGTCAATCCCCACCTGGCCCGCAGAGGAAAGAGAGATTAGATATGCCCAGATCGACGAGTCCCACTTCCGTGCAAAGGATAATAGGTGTAATAGATGCTCCGCCCGCCTCAGACGAGTTGTTAGAAAGGTTGTCGTTAGCGACGGCGCAACCGCGATACGACCCTGTCCCACCTGATATCGACGATATGGGCGATATAGAGGCAGAACTGGCCAAAATGCACGCGGACCACATAAATGGCGACGACGCGCCAAGAAGACCGCCAGAAGAGAACCAAACCAAAGAAGTGAAAAGAGAACCCACACCTATACTCAGAGATGAGGATAAGTCCAGTCAAAGCATAGATAATAGAGGGGAAAGTAAAGAAGAGTCTAAAATGTCAAATGAGTCGAAAACGACAGATGTTGACGCTAACCTCGAACCTAGTAATGCTCAAAAGGAGGAAGTTTGTAAAGAAGAAAATGTATCACCCAAGAAAGAAAAAGGTGTGGACGATTTTGACCATCTCCCGAGCAGAATGTCGCCACCTTTATATACGTATTCGAATCAGGAGAAAGTAAGTACGAGCGATTCTCTGGAGACAAAAGATGAGAAACCTTGCCTCCCGTCAGATAATGGCGAAACGAAAGATGGAGACGCAGAAGTGAAAGAGAAACAGGAACCGAAAATAGAAAGGTTACCTCTCAAAGCTGACTTTCCAGATAAGAGCTTACTAGAGCAATTACTAATTGAAATTCCTACACCAGACTACGTTGGCAAGAGGCCGGAGTCTCCCTCGCCTTCAACGCTGGAGAGGGTGGCGCGGAGTAGTGTACGAACAAGGTCGAGTAGTAAAATGAACAGTCCAGCGGACGGACCTAAAACACCGCGACTTAGCCCAGGAATAAATAAACTCGAGCGATCAGACTCGCCGGCCATGCAGCCTAGAAACTGTCTTCTGAGCGGGTCTGATAAAACAAGTCCGAGAACAACTAATGCGGTGTCAGCGCCTGCCAAACCTGCGCCCGGAGCGAAACGGAAGCGGAGAGAGTCGGAGAGTTCGTGTGCGTCCACCATTAGTTGTGAGGAAGGCATATCGCCAGGTCGGTTGAAGAAGAAACCGCGTAGGATAGACCAAAAACCGATTAATCCAGCGGCCATTGGTGGTAAAGTAAAAAAAGAGTCGGACAGTGATAGTGACGAGCCGTTGATATGTAAAGTGCGGGGGAAGGGGGTGAAAGCAATGAAGCCAGGGGTGAAGTTGCCGAAAGGAGCCGAGGGTGTGGGCACCAGGAGGTCGGTCAGGCACGGGCCTGCGCCTGCGCCGGCCGCACCTGCTCCACCTAACAGCACACCTGTCAGGCGGAAAACGAGAAGTGCCGGTAAGTTGCCTAACCTGAATATAGATTGACAATGTAGGGTTTCAGATTTAGGTTAACTTTAAAAAAAATGTAAGTTTGAAATTTGTATCCATATGATTTATGATTGATCTCGGCAGGACTGCGTAGTATTTAATTCTTAAATGGAAAATTTTACTATCAAATATCTCTTGACAATATTATATTATTTGCTCCATATTTCACCAAACTCTATGCTTGCTTCCAGTAGGCGAAGGCACGCCTAGCGCCGGCGCGGTGCGGAGACGGCGCGCGTCCCGCGACGGCAAGTGACGGCGGCGACGCGCGGGCTGTACCGCGCCCTCACCCCCCCTCGCCCTCCCACTCCCCCTACCCCTCTTATACCCTCTCGAATGACCCTCCCAACACTCCCACCCTCTCCTTAACATCAATATAACAATACTACTGCGCACTGAACGCTCTAAAACCAACCAGACGTACGCGAGATGTGCCCAGCTCCGAACCAAGTGATCAGTGATAAGTGAAATGAGTGTCCGGTGTGAAGCGAAACAATGGACGTGGTTGTCAGTCAGGGGGCGTTTTTTTTTCGTGTGCAAAATTTTGTGGAATTTTAAAATTTTATGAATCTCAAGAGTTTGTAAAATAACAAATTGAATTGTGCAATATTGATATCCTTTGAGGATTCATTCAGAGTTGACATATGTGTGCTTTTTTATATTATATCGATCGTTGTGTCGAAGTGTTTAGACGCCCCTGACGACCGACCCCATCGGGCAAGACTTTTCGGGACTTTTTTAAATTAGTGAACAAATCATGTTACCATTCACTATAAAGCACTCGACGTTTTCTTTAATTGTAAGTTTATTTCTTCTATGGTGTATTTTTAAGGTCGTCTTTTTACCATAGGCTGGACTCGGTATAGGAGTCGCGAGCCGAAGCGGAGCCTTAGCTTAGTGATAGAGATGTATCATTGTACAAAAGAGCACTCGTCTTATAGGCACATTGTTATAGGATAAATATTAAATACCCGAGAGATATAAAATGCATAAAGTTTTAAAAGATATTTTCATACGTTTTTGCACGTAACTCGTAGCGTCATCGAACTGCGTCGTAGTTTTAAATCGTTTTGGCGGGAAACGGCCATTTTGCTTTTGACAGTTTTGTCGTGCATTTCGTTTGTGGACGTCAAATGGTAGTGTCGTGTGGTCGCTTCCCGCCCGAACTAGCCGCTAAAACGATGAAATGTTAGCGTTTTTATATGTAAGTGAATTCACGACCAATAATTGTAATTTAAATGTGACATGATTCTTGAATAATTTCTTAGTGAACTGATAATAATCGTGACTGAGTGTTTCAACAGTTTGTCTGTTTGGGCTTCCAGTATACTAAACTATTTTTATTTGATGCCTCTATCCCCCCCCCCCCATTTTTAGTTTTTTTTACACCCATCAGTTTTTGTCCGCGATCCAAATCGTTTCTGACAGATATTAAATAAATAAAATAAACATTATTGCAAAACCAGTGATCCTTAGATTTTATAAGCTAGCTTTTTCTTTGCACTGTAAATAATGAATTGAGACCTTAAAAATTAGTTGCCTAAGTAGATATAGTATTTATTATCACAAACATTTGCTGAATAATTGGTATATTTAAAATATATTTTTTGTTTCAATCAGCGTAATTTTCACGTTTTTATACATACATATATATGTATATTCTTAAATTGACATGAATTGTTAAATATTAATGTAATTTACACTTTTCCATATTTTTTTTTACCAATATGTAAAATAGTTTTAAAACGTTTTCTTTGCGGTTCGTACGTCTGAGAGTTTACTCTAAATTCAAAGCAATAATCGAGGATGTGACTTTTCACTTAACTTTTATAGAAGATCGATGCATTCGACTGCCTTAACGTTTTAGTATATAGTAAATGTCCCATAGGTTTCGGTATTTTATATACTTTCTCACAAACACGTACCCTTCGTTCAGGTCCCTTGTACCCCTTACTTGATAATTTTCAAGGTTCATAGGTCGGACAGTGATAGCTCTACAATACAAAGTGTTAGTATGTACGTAGTATTTATAGTATATTATTGAGAATATTTTATAATTAAATATAAAAACAACATTGCCTGAAAATTGTGCCCTAAAACGTGTGCCGTGTTCGAGCTGTGTGACTGCTGCAGTGCGCGTTGAGCCTCTGGAGGGTGAGGCGGTCATGTACATGCTTTTAAGTGCAGAAACGAGTTGTTTTTTTTTTCTTTTAAATTATTAGTTATCGGCTCGTCCGATGTATAATCTCTGTAAATTTTTGTGTATAGATGGGAAAATTAATATATGTTACGCGTAAAGTAATCGTTTTTTTTCATCTTTTTTTTAACGGGGTCGCCGGGTCATGGCGCTGTATATACGGGGTCGCGCCAACGCCGGCCTCTTACGTTGTAGGATAATGAAGCCTTGTACTGTAATATAAATGACTCGCAAGCTTGTACCATATAATTTAGTGAATGGACTCCTCAACTAGATGTGTATATTGGGTGTATAGTTATCCTTTAGTTTGTTTTGTTTTTCGACTAATGATAGTAATTTATGCCGATAAAATATCTATATACATTTATATATCTATAAAAAAGAGAAATACAAATAGCTAGAACACTATAAATATAGGTTAGGGGTTACACACACGAGATAGATTATAATTTTGGTATGTAAACATTTAATACTTGTAAATAGCCCGCAAAATAGTGAATAAATAATAAAAGAATTGATACAATAAAATTTAACTTTATGTTATTGTAATATTTTTTCTAGTTCGTGTTGTTAGAATTGCGCGAAGGCGCGTTTAGGTCAATGATGGCGCGTGTACAGTTTTTGTTGCTGGCAATCTGTGAAGTTGCAACTATCCTTTTTTTTTATTGTGCATTATTTTTCTGTAAGTTGCTTTCTCTGTCGTTCAACATTATTTTTAAATCATATAATTATATTCATAAAGTACGGATGAGTCATGGCGAATTATTATCATATTATTATGAATGGAAAGAAATAAGGAATATTATTGTTCTGCTATTATTAAATTTGTAAAGTTAGTTTATTAATAAATGAATAAAAAAATTTTTGTTGTTTCCATTGACCTGTTTACCCATTGAATTGTAAGAGGTTTGAAGATATGATTTTATGTGAGAAGTGTTTGTATAAAAATTAAGTGAAATTGTCACTATAATAAATAGTAGGGGAGCCCAAGAGAGGATTTTGGGATTTACAACCTTACTCTGTTGAGTACCTTTACTAGATATGATATGTTTTATAAGTCCTCTGTATAAGGTTGCGCATCTACGGCAGCCGATCAAAATATTATAAATTACTAGCATTGCCCGCGGCTCCGCCCGCGTTCCGATGACCAAAAAGCAAATTTTTAGGTTTTACATATTAGTATTCTCTTACATTGCAGTTTTTGTATTTTTTCTCAGATATGAGATATTTTCCCGCGGTAAAAAGTATCCTATATGTTGACCTGGATAACCAGCTATCACCATACCGAATTTCATCAAAATCCTTCCAGTGGTTTTTCTGTGATGCGGTAACAGACAGACAGACAGACAAAAATTCTAAAAACTATAGATTCGGTCTCTAGATGATAATGTCTATATCAACAAGATTTTCTAAAAAATATTTAATGTACAGATTCGTCTAAGTTACAATTTTATTATATGTATAGATTTTGATAAGTTAGAAATACATACTTGATATACATGAACTTTATGGACGATTTTTGTTTAGACGCTTAGAAACAACTTAGTAGATTTTTAAATTGTTCACTTTTCTGTTGCCCACCACAGTCCACACCTTTCTGACGTGTTCTCCTCTACAATAAGGAACTATATAGTTCATACAAAAGTCGAAACGGTCACGCTAGAATAAGTACTTTGTCAGCACGTTAATATTGGCTTTAACCTATCGATCGAAATGACTACGTTATTCTATATATCATGTAATACTACGTCATTATATATATTTCTAGTTATGTAAAATAAACGAAAATTATCCTTTTAGTTGGTGAAACAGACCATAAATTTAAAAGGCATTAGAATTAGTAAGAAGTTTCAAATAAAAGAAAATTAAAAAAAAAAATCTTTTATTTGAAACTCCTTACTAATTCTATTATAAAAACCATATATTTACATTTTTAATACCTAAACTTATTGTGTAAACGATGTAACATGTATTCAATATTATGTCTTCATTAGAAGTAAATAGCTACATTATTTACTAGTATTAATTATTAGAAAACTCCTAAGAATAAGTAATACTTTAAATTGAAATTTCTAGAAATTAACTGACATGATTTAGGTACGGGATTTCACCTCATATAATCAGTGTGGACATTTAAAAAAAATATGCAAACAATATTACAAATATTAATTTATTTTAGACTTTCGTTATAAAATAAGTATACTCAATATTTAAAAGACATTAATATTAAACAAAGTTTTATTTTGTTTTTTTCTTAGCACAAGTTATATGTATTTCTTTATATTTATTATCTATGTAACTATTGATATAGTAATAGAGAACTGGGTTATTTAATCTGTGAAATCTTATTGGCTAAAATTCATTGCGACTTGAATCGACCAATCACATTTTGTCTTGTGTCGGTGTCATCGAGAAAATTATTGAACTACTTGCTGTGATTAAAAACCACCTTGATTTTCCTTATAAAATATAAAGTGTTAAAGTAAGTATTTATACATAGTTTTAAAAATATATTTCTATTTATTAAAGCTCAAAAACTTATGAATGATTTTGGGTTTTATGCAAATATACAAGTTATTAATCCCCAAGAAAATATATCACAAGCGTTATGTAAGAACTAAGAACGTCAATAATCTCGATGCAGTTGTATGCTCGTATATATTAAAAATTTGTAAATATATTAGAAGTTGCTATTTATAAATTATAATTTGATGCCTTTTTAATTTTTACACTTGTAAATTTTATAGTAATAATATTTTAAATCGCTTATGTTACGCGACATAATTTTTTGATAAGATAGGAATAACCTTTCAAGAAATATACTTAATAATTTTCTATTTTTACTATTACTTAATTAAATATGCATACATTAATCAGAATAGGTAGTCAGAATTACCATTTATATGTTTATATTTTATTAATTGAATTGATAAAAACAATTTAATTACTTTTTTAAAATAATATTTACTTTTTTCTCATAAGATGGCAGATAAGGCAGTAGCTCCCATTGCCAAGCCCCAGATGCGCGGGCTCCTCTACAATCTTATTAAGCGCAACTTGATTATTTCTTTTGTACTTGCTGGCGCTTCTGGCTTCGCTTACAAGGTTCTCGTAGGAGATGTGCGCAAGAAGAAGTATGCTGAATTCTACAGGTACATACATTTTTAGTTACTTAAGTATAATTACAAAACCTTTTTATATACGTGCATTCCTGTTTTATTTATGTGGTGTATTATTATGGGATTCTCAGGAAGAACTAAAAATTACCTAGTTTAAATAAATATTGAAAGATAATGATTATATGATAACTAGTGATTCACCCTCACTTCGTTCATGTTCATCCCTAGGTTGCTTCCATATACAAACTTTCATTCCCATTTTCACCCCCTTAAGGGATGATTTCTGGGATAAAAACTATCCCATGTTCTTCCCAGGGTCTCAAACTATCTTACCAAATTTCATCTAAATCATTTATCTAAATCCATTCAGTAGTTTTACAGCTTATTCAGAACAAACAAACAAAAAAACCTTTCCTCTTTATAATATTAGTATAGAATATAGATATAAAAATGTACATGAAATGAATTGTGAACCTCTAGACAATTCAGTAGTATAAAGGATAAAGGAGTGGTGCTCATGAATGTCACGGGGGGGGTGGCTTGGGGAACATGTATAAATAAGATGAGAGATGGGTATCTCTGGCTAGATCTCTAACATTGAGGCAGATGTTTGTGCACATATTTAAAAAAAAATATTTCCATAAGATTGTTTCTGGATGACTACTTAATGTAAAAGTAAAAAAAAAACTTAACATGTTCCAGTAAAATAAAAACAAAATACGTTATTTTAAAACCAGAAATGAATAATTATTTTTAAAAGAATACAATAATATTAATATCATTTTTTGTTTCTAGGACATATGATGCTGAGAAGGAATTTGAAGAAATGCGCAAGAAGGGTCTTTTCCAATCCTGCTAGTTTAATTGTTGTTATGTAGTTGCATTATTTTGCTGTGTATAATAATTTAAATAAATAAAAAATCTAATCAATTACAATATTTGAAGTATCATTTAGTATAAAGTTTATAACGGACAATATGTATATAAGTTTAAAGAAATACTTATAAAATAAAAAGAAATTGATAATTATTATTAAGTATTTTCTTTAAAATGACTATAGATCATCATCATCTGTTCATTTCCCAAAACAATTGGGTTCGGCAAAGTAAGTCCTCTTCCACTTTCCCGTATTATGACCTCATTCACCTGTCCAGTCGTACAACAGTCATCTCTTCAGCCTTCCTCGTCTCCATCCATCTATATTCATTTGAAATGTGATCATTTGATCTGATGATTATTATGAAGCATCTCCATTAGTAGTCAATTTTGTTTCTATCTTAGAACTAGTAGTTGTACGAACAGTAGACCTTGTGGCACAAACTATTTTGAGGAGTTATTCTGTTTATCACACCGAAGATCCTCATCAGATCTTCACCAAATTTTTATGAGACCAACTTAAAGTTATTATCTTTGAAATAAAAAAGAACCATTGTAATAGGATTTCATAAGCGAATCATATCCAGTAACACAAAAGCCCGCGACGACAAAAACAAAGTCGTAAAACCCCTATACCAAGTTCCTTCCAGATCGGTTGTAAAATACGACCTGTAGAGGAGTACCAACAACAGTACAACTGACAGAGAAAAGCAAATTTTGCTAGACTCGAAGTATAAACGCTTCGCTCACTCGGTCAATGACTATATATATATAGGTATATAAATCATACGATACAAAAAGAAACGAAAATATTTGATTATTTATCTTATTCTATGAAGCATCTCTATTAGTAGTCAATCTTACTAATATCATAAATGTAAAAGTTTAGATGAATATTTGGATGTTTGTTACTCAATCACGCCAGAAATGCTGAACTGATCTAGATGAAATTCGGCACACAGATAGATTATAGTTTGGAATAGCACATAGGCTTTTTATCCCGGAAAAAAGTACGGTTCCCATGGGATAAATTTGTTTTTCCCGGAGCGAAGCGAGGGTGAACCGCCAGTTTATAATATTTTCCAAACAGCTCAATATTCAAGAAAAATATACATATATTACGTAAGTAGTCTATTAAATAGTGTAGAGACTTTTTTTGATATTTGAATATTTCTAGTGGCTCACACCACTCTGAAAAACTTAAAGGAAATCTAGTAGAGACTGCTTGTTTTCACATTGGATTGGAGTTTAGGCGCATGACTGACCGACGGCTTCTACGGCGAAATGTTCTCAGAGGCTTCTCAGTGCTAGGCAGCTACTGAGAATTTTTAACACAAAAATTCAATAGTTAATTTGACTAGGATCTAACCTGAGACTCGAGTCTCAAAAATGCTAGCAACTAAGCTACTAGACCACAGAGTTTTTAAATCTCAATAGAGCTTAAACGAATAGCTTTTGTATAAGTAGGTATATTTAAAGAAGAGTGAACATATTGAAACACACGAATAATATTACGATAATTTAATCAGGACATCAATTTATATGTATCATTTCAGAATACAGAAATAATTTAACAATTCAATTGGTTACATTGTCATAGAATTTTACATGTATTTTATTTTTAATTCCAAGCAACGGTAAAACATTACTTAAACATAGAATATCAAGACAGGGACCAGCCTGCTGAAACAACTACAACTTATTTACTATTATAGAAAATTATTAATACAAATTATAAAATGAAAGGCTGTATAGATTTAAGGTTTTTCATCTATTTTGTCTGCAAAAAAAAACTAATTTTTTGACATTTCAAAGGAGGATTTTTTTTAAGTTGGTAGCATTTATAACGTTAAATTAATATATTCAAATAATGTACATAACAATTCTAAGACTTAGTTGTACGTAAATAATACATGTTTTATAATAATTAATTAAATTAGACTTTGCATGTATGACAAATGACAATATAAGTAATTAAATAAAATTGCAACAAAATAATATATCCAAACAATAAATTTAAAGCTAAAATATTTTGTGCGTCGTGTATAAAGTGCTTATTCGGGGGATGAGGCTTTATCAAACCACCGTATGGTAAAATGTACTATTTTAATACAATATTTAAGTAAATGAATTATTTACATATTATATTAAATTATTTATCGAAAGACTAACTGCTTTTATAAAATACAACGAAAGACATTGAATGTACACAAATTAAATTATTTTGGTGCGAGACACATGAAGTGGAGAAGTACTCTATCAAATTTTGATGAACATAATATTGAAGAATCGATTAAATTATTTCATAGTAATTGTTACCATCACGAGCTAACATTTACTTCATATTTTAAAATATCGATTATGATTTAACTATGCGTTGGCAGCCCTATTTAAAAACTCCAATAGGTTCTCATCAAAAGCGACAAAAGCTACCAATAAATATTTATTGGTTTCTATGTGGCTTTTGTCGCTTTTGATGCGATCATATTGGAGTTTTTAATAGGGAATGTGATAGTTTTAGTAAATGAAAGTTTAGTTAAGCTAATATGGTGGAAGTTTCTTCTCTATAGGTTTGTTTCCTTCCGTCATAAGAGACCGCCGCCATCTTAGGTCAATTTACGTGGCGCTTACTGTACAATACGTATTTTATACATTTAAACTAGATTTGATCACGCCATTCCAAATTATGATATATGATTTTGTTCATCGACATACATTTTCTTTTTTGAACTAAGAGACTTTATTTTACTCAGTCAAACCGACTCTGCCACCAGTCGTGGTTTTGTTCCCAATATATGACTTGGCGTCATAAACCATCTAATACGGTCTCTACATTAGTTGTAAACGAAGAACGGAGTTAGTCCATATAAGGTGTTCTATTGTACCACACAACAGTACTATTTTAAGGAGAAAATTATCATTTTCTCCATATTAGCTATTAGGTATATTTTTACTAGTGTGGCTGTTATATAATACTATTTTGCAAGAATGTCAAACTTTCCATGAAAAAAGAAAGATATAGTTATTTATATTCTGTTTTGTTCCAGTGCCATTTTAAGTGTGTCGATGAACTCGTAAAACTAAGTATTAAGTATAGATAAAAAATCTAAACTACACGATTGATAGACAAAAATAAGTTCGGAGAGACAAGCTAAACTTTTTAACGTAAACATTGTACATACGAGTATCATGTTTTAATACGATGTATTTGTTTATAAATAATATAATTATGACGCTTTAATGGCGATAAATTATTTTATTTAGTTATTTTACATATTTTATTTAATAAGTATATGTCTGATGAAAATTTACCTTATATCTCCGAACTGAAGGATGAAAACCGATGCATTCCTCACACTTATCGTGTTAATCTATCAAACATTAACATTACAGAGAATTCACTAAATACAATTAATAGTTATTATAATTTAATTAATAAGCGTAATAGATTAAAAACATTAACGTTTTTATTGGTTTTCTTAGTACTGATAAGTTGTTTGGGCGCAAATATTTCAAATTATCTTATTTTTTTTAATATTTTCATATTATTTACGAGTGGCAGTATATGTCCCTGCGTGTGGATTTACAAGATTAACGAAGCCATTTTATGAACAAGAGTAAGTTATTTATATATCAGCTATCCTTACTCCATATCATAGTCTTTTTAAATTGACAAATTGACATGTTGCAAGTATATAATACGTTAATTGATTAGTAACATTTTATATACGTGTTAATAATGTGATCAGGGCTGCCAGTAGAGCCTTATTAGGCTTATTTTATATGCTGGGTCACTGAAATTATACCAAACTAGCGACTCACCCTCGCTTCACTCGGGTTCGTCGATAGCTTGATTTTCCATACAAACTTTCATCCCCATTATTCCCCCCTTCCATCCTATCCTTCCCAGGGTCTCAAACTATCTTCTTACCAAATTTCATCTAAATCGGTTAAGTAGATCCAGAGATTACCCCCTACAACGTCACAAACTTTATCTCTTTATAATATTAGTATAGATTAAATTCTGTTATAAAAATCAACACACCTGTTGAGAAATAGTTTGTGACGGATAAAATAATTTTTTATCACTTTAACATACCTAAGTCCATAGTGTCTGCTTGCCATCAAAAGAAATGTTTGACCTCTCGATACTTTGTTGTTTGACATTACCGATGTTACTTAAATAAAATCTTTATATTTGTATCCAATTATAAAAGGCAATCTATTATACAAACAGGATGCATAACATTACTATATGATACAAGTTTCGTATCCAATTATACGATCTGACAGCCCTAAATGCAATTTATTGGTTTGTGCTGATGTATTATATCTCTATTGCTATCCTTTTCTTAAAAGAAAAAAATATGGACGTGAAAGAGAAAGGTAATCGTTACTATGGATATCGTTTTTTTTTGGTTGTATAACATGACAGAATTCTACAATGATGTAAAATCGATTACCTAATTTTTAATCGAATGATTTTTATTATAGCTTCTACACACGCAGGGATAAGTAAGACAAGGGTCGGTGATCAACACTTAATTATTTTGTACCCTCTAGGCCTCAAAATAAAATAAAAATAATTGAGCAAGTAAAATAAAACATGACTTGTCGTACGTTCGATCAATTTAAAATGATATTTTAAAAATGGTAGATATTTTCACATTTCTAAAAAAAAATGCTTTTTTTTAGTATTTTTTAGGACCTCGATCGTACGAGACCTTTATTATTTAATAAATAATGTTATAATAATAAATATTCGTCCTACATAAGACAAGTCAAATCATTTTGGATACAGTATATTTCAGAATGTCTTTATTGAAAATCAAACAAAACAAAAATAAAACAACAATGACTATATAATATGAAAAACTTAACAAAAGGCGTCTAGCTTACGTGCTATATTAATATTCGAAAAACAAAAAAAATACACACATAAGCTAGCAACCCAGTAACAAAACTTTGAGGCCCGCCCCGAGAAATCAGTGTGGCCAGCACACGTAAACAAAAATAACTTTATTTTAACATTAATTAAAATTCAAATACGACGTTTTGTGGATAATGAAAGCCATTTCTAATGTTCAACCACATATTATTGCTGGCGATAGTGAATCTTAAGGTGGTTCTTGATCAAGTGCTTTCTGATCCACGAACGTCGAATGTTTTTCCTTCGAATTCCTCATTTCCATAACCGCCTTCATCAAATTCGCATTCTTTGGCATTTCTAACTGATTCAACAGTTGGTCCGTGGAGTTTAACACATAGTATTTCTTTGTAATTTTCTAAAGCTAGAGCTAGTACTGAGCCGCCTAGGAGCACTTCGCATGATGTAATTTTTTCCGGTGGTGTGTAGACTGCTATTAGTTTACCTGGAAAAATAAAGATGTAGATATATATGTACATATTTTAACACTTATCGATTGATCCTAACTCTGTTATCAGTGGACAGTGAGTCTATATTCAAGTTCCTACAAAGTCTTTCAAACTTGTCTACCGTTGTTCTACACAGTTGTAACGCGCTTGGTAAACTCAGTGTTACGGGTTTCTTAATTCTGATATTTTTATGTGCCTTTTCAATATTCATATTTCACCAGCATGGTGGACCATGATCGGGTCCCTATCTCACTGAGAACGTTAAACATGGCATTATAGTATCTTTTATTATTCTCATAAAACTTATCCACTATATATGGAAATCTAATCAGTAATCATAGCAAATAATATTACATCTTTTTTTTACAATGGATCCACAAAACTGTTTGCACAGTTTGTCTGTGGGATCGGATCATAAAATCCCATTATTAATTATCATTAATATTATAAATGTGAAAGTTTGGATGGATGTTTGTTTCTCAATCACGCCAGAACGGCTGAACGGATCTGAATGAAATTTGGCACAGAGATAGATTTTAGTCTGGAATAGCACGTAGGTTACTTTTTATACCAGAAAACCGTACGGTTCCCGTGGGATAGATTTGTGTTTGTTCTTCACTAGTCACGAATCCGAGGGAAGCGAGGGTGAGTCGCTATAAATTACATGAATACAAAAATTACATAATTATGCATCAGTAAGTAAAGCAGCGATAGCCCAGTGGTAACGAGCTCGCTTGAGAAACCGAGTGAAGCGGGTTCAAATCCCTGGTCTCGCACCTCTGATATTTTCATGTGCGAATTATTTCTAACATGATTACCACTTGCCTTACGGTGAAGGAAAACATCATGACGAAACCTGCATGTCTAAGAGAACCTAGCAAGTTTTGGAAAGACATGTGATGCCCGCCAACCCGCACTTGGCATGCGTGGTGGACTATGGTCTAATACCCTTCGTACTAAAGAGAGGCCCGTGCCCAGCAGTGCGACGTTAAAAAGGGCTGAATACACAAGCATAAGTAAAACTCCAACATACCCGTATGCAAGTCCCACAGCCGCACCGACAGGTCCCGGCAGCAGCGGTCGGTGGAGAGCAGCACGGCGCCGGCGCGCGCCAGCCGCAGCAGCGACGGCGCCGCCACGTGCCCGCGCAGCGTCAGCCTGCAGTTGCCTGGGATAACCATTGATATATAAAACATAATATATTATCCATCGCAAAAACAAAATAAATCAAATATTACTACTATAACTATATAAATTAAAAAATTACAACATGGTAATATCATTATTTTAATAAACAGAGGAGTTAGAATCGCCGAAAGTCTCATAAGCCCTAAGCCTAAGAAGTATTACAAACAAGGTCAGGGCATATCTCCCTGATTTCCCAATTCCCCTCCCCTTACAAGACAACCATCTAAATCCAAACAATAGCAACTTACCAGTAACCAGATCCCACACCAATATCCTCGTATCAGCGAGACCAGACACCACACAGCCGTCCACCGAGCTGATGGCCAGCGCCACTGTGTCACACCCTGGCTTCCACTTCTTGAACAATGTGCCAGATTGAAGGTCATACACTACAATGAAATTTGGACTTGGCTCGTCTAGTTCTCGGGACACTACGCAGACGTAGGAACCTGGAGAATAGAAATTTTAAATTAACTTCACTGGTGTTATAAAATTCAATTATTTATATGTTTGAACGCAGTGATCTCATGAACTATCAGTTCGATTGTACCGTTGCATATTAAGGACAGCTATTGCAGGCAGTTAAAACTACAAGTCATAAACAATACAATAAATTTCTTTTTGCCTTATCCCAGCTAAAGTGTCAAGATTTCTTCATTTTGGATTTACATCACATCCGTTCAGTTGTTACAGTGTAAATAAGTAACAACCACACACACTCATCTCCCTCGACATCTATTTAGAGAGCAGAGTCGCAGGCTAAGCTAAATGTAATTTAATTAAATATTACCTTCATAGGTGATGGCTGCCTTAGAAGTGATAAAGTCGTGATGAGGTATTCTGAGGTCATACAACAATTTCCTTGAAGTGAGCGACCAGACTAGCAGTGGGAACGGTTTCTGAGTCTCATCTCCACAAACCAATATTCTGTAAGAATAAAAAGACATTTTTTATTAGGAAAAAATGAAACTGAGTTCAGATACAACTAGAAAAATAGTTATTTCATGCAGAAGGATTTATTTAATTTAAAATAACTTAAATGCAAACCAGTAAGGCCTATATATTGAAGATATTTGAGAAAAACTTTTATTGTGGGTTTTTATTAACGGAGCAGAACCTAAAACAATGATTTTAAAAATTTTATGTTTGTCTAAGTGTTTGTGCGCGCTAATCTCACAAACGTTTTGGGTGCGGTTTTCATTAATGTATTGTGGTAAGCTTCACTTAACATTTAGTATTTGTTTTATTTCAATCGGTTCATAAATAAACAAAAAGTTATGTCAATTTAAAGAATCACCTAGGGACGAACCCGAGTGAATCGAGTATGAGTCGCTAGTTTATTACATATAATTTAAAAGAAACATAGTTATCTACCTTCCATCACCAGACACGAGTAAAGAGTTGAGAAACCTGTCCTCGCCCGCTTTGAAAGTGGTCACACAGTCACCTAAAATAACAAAGAGCTTCTTAAACCTATACAACCTTTTACAACTTTGTAATCTTACATTTAGAGATACCTTAAAAATATTCTTCAAAAGTTAAAGGGACAGGCCTCCCTTTCTTAAAAGGGATCAGTACTTATACTGTCCCTTTTACTTGTGAAGGAGGATGAACATCCTGCGATGTTAAAGAGTTTAAAAGCATATAACTCCGCATCTTGGCTTAAATAAAGAAGTATCTGAATTTTAGAGAACTATTCAGAGATACACTCTTATATTATACTCGTACTTATGTGGATTTATAAAAAAAATCATCCCAATTTTTTTACATGAGATACCTACATAACCAATTTCAAAAAAGTAGCTCCAATAGCCTTCAAGTATACTTAATCGCTGTGACACACGGACAGACAAAAAGACAGATGGATATGACAAAATTATACCTAATGGTTCCGTTATAACCTTTTGGTAACGTAACCCGAAAAAACTAAATTATTAATAAAATAATATATATATATAAAAAAAACAAATCTTACCAGTTTCAATGTTCATTAGATTCACGTACATGCGGTTCCTAGACAAGGCGACCAAATGCTTAGAGTCGTGCAGACCGTAGTACGGCATCTTTTGATTCATCACGCCCTTGAGCGCCACTACATATTTACCCTGTTAATAATACTTTTTTACTATAAAATATAAATCAACACTTCAAAATTAATGAAAATGTAGTTATTCAATTATTAGGGTTGCTTTTTTATTTACATTTATATGGGAACTTTTGGGTATTTTCCGTATTACCTATTTATTAAAAAATTATGAATGTTAGCGACAATATCACGCAACATATACATAAAAAATAAATCAAAATTGAGCACATTCTTTTTTTCGTAGGCCAAGAAAAACTAAAATTTAGTATAAAAAATAATCACACTTTAAACTTGGCGTGACGTCACAATATGATATACACAGAAAAATGACGACTCAATTTGTAGCGACAAAATCGCCAATCGCTCTGTTAAGATAATACTTTGACGTCATATTCGGTATGACCAATGGCTTGTGTTATTTTAATTTTTCTCAATAAAAAAGAAATTACATTAAAAAATATTCATATAGGCTTATTTCAAAAGCAATAAAAATAAAAAAATAAAATACTTAAATCACACGTATATTCCGTATTAGTAAATTCATAAAAAAAGCAAATTAATAAAAAAAAATTATAAATATATTATAATTATTTACCTGATCAAGATCATACACTCTCAACTCCCGGCGACACAACACTACACATCTATATTCGTCTATGGGCACTAAATTTATCGGATGCGTTACACCTTCTATTTTTCTTACTAATTTACACCTGGAAGTGTTTAAATATGTATTACACATAAAAATATATATTATTTATATGTAAAAAAATGACTACATCAAATTACTCTGCACGAATATTCAATCTCTGGCGTAGTAAATGCCATACTAAGATGATGTCGATAACACAAAATTTTATTAAGAGCACGAATAAATGAATTTCAATTCAATTCTCTTGCTAATTGAATTGAAATTCATTTATTCGTGCTCTTAATAAAATCGTATTATATACAGACAAATGAAATTGAGTGTCTAATTGTAATGTCACAAAAATAGCTTATTTATTAAACACATATGAAAGTATATACGGTACTTATAAGAAACAAACATTTTTTTTTAAATTTTTGTCTGTATGTCTGTCTGTTTGTTCCGGCTTATCTCCAAAACGGCTAGATCGATGTTGGTGGGACTTTCACTGGCAGATAGCTGATGTTATAAGGAAATATATCAGGTCACATAGGTTTTTCTTACCTCACAACATCCCAAACACATATTTCTTCCCTTTCAGTGGAGACAGTCGCAATGAATTTACCCCTCGTATCAAATCTCACGATCAAATCATACGACTTGGTGTCAAATCCTTCGACCATAGACATGTCCCTTTTTTCCCTATTTTCTGTGACTTTCCAGAAATCTTCATTGGTTGGGTAGAACGTTGGAACAGGGGGTTCCCAGACTTCCTTCATCCACCCTTCAACGATACTGCTCTCTAGGTCCACTTCTTCACGTAATTTCCTCTCCAATGTCGTTCGAAGGACACCATAGAATTGCCTATGGTCGTAGTCAAGTGCGTAGGAATGAGTTTCAAAGACCTCTTTCAATAATTCTAAATGTTCTGGAAGGGGGTCGATGTGGACGAGTGCGATGTCTTCGAGAAAATGGCCGCAGTCTGTCGCGGCTAGTTTGTCGTGAATCCAATCGAGTTTTGTAAAATAAGGTTTCATTGCAAACGCTTCTGGATCTTCCTTTAATAGGTGATAATGTTGGAATGGTAGCTCGTCGAATTTTCTAGTATTATACCTAGAAATATAAAGAAGTTGGTAAAAATAATTCTGGTTGGTAAAAATTTGTGGTATTTGTAGTTAAACTTACCATTCTTCTGAAAATTTATTTTCCTGTGACACTAATCGTCCAGTCATTTTGGGATCATTCTCGATATACCATACGCCCTGTAAAAAAAAGTATAACCTGTAATTGACTTCATAATAGTCGCATTAAGAGAAAAAAATACTAATTTTGTGAATGGAGAAAATATCAATGACTCATTTTATATAGGTTCCTAGTTTATGAATAAATGACTCTACTACAAATATAAATATGTTTGGACATTAACACACAGCACCATCTAGTTCCACGATAAGCTACGAGGCTTGTGTTATTGATACCAGATAGTTGACACACTACATATATATAACTTTAAATACATACATATTATAAATATAAACCCATGACTGGAGTACAAAAATTCGTGCTCATCACACAAATGAATGCCCCAGCGAGACTCGAACCCGCGACCGCTGGCACGGCAAGTAAAATTCACTACAAACTGAAAAACAAGTATCAAACGTGTGCAACTACCCTAATTTACCCTAACAACCCAATAGTACTATTATTTCGATAAATCAATAACTGAATGCTTGGGACATGTGCTTTATCTATCATCACACAAAACCCACCGACCTCATAATAGTCGACGAGTATCTCCCTGGCGGCGAGCACGTGCGCGTGGTAGCGGTCGGCCGCCGCGGCCGCCAGCGCAGCGTCCCGCCAGCGCGCCGCGCCGCGCGCGTCCGCGCGCAGCCACGGCGCCAGCAGCGCGCTCAGCTGCGGCCACAGCAGCGCGCCCGGCGCCCACGGCACTGCCCAAGTGCGGACGTTGGGGTAATTATCATCATTTCAAATAAAACTATCTTTTCGAATTATTTCGCGGATTTATTATGATTTTTGGTTCCCGACGTTTCGAATGCTTTACAGCAATCATGGTCACGGGAGAGACTAAATTGTAGACGTCTTGAAGGCGTTATGTACTTGTTACAGACAGTGCCTACCCACTGTTTTACAAAAATGATTTCAAAATATTCAAAAATGACACCGAAGTACCTTACAATATAAGTTGGTTTTTATTTCTAAACATTTTAAAAATAATAATCATGTTCTCCCGACTGTATCAGCCACGACGGTCATTGAGAATAGCCATCTCCGCAGAAGATATTATAGTGCACAAGTATACGCGCACGTAAGGGACGACACGAGACACTATCAATGTTACTTAAGACGCAGGACCGACGGCTTTACGTGCTCTCCGAGACACGGGCGCGAAACACCACCAAATTCCCAACTCTGAGCTATTACTGTGTTCCTTAACAGAAAGATTCAGTAACTAAACTTGGCCGACCCGGAACTAGAAAGCAGGACCTCCGAATGTACAGCCGTAAATGCTAGCCCCTACACCATGGAGGAGATCGTAATGAACTGGTAGTGGAAATGTTTTGACAAATGCTTTAGAATTTACTTACTTTTTTAAATTTGTGTTACTACAGATTATTATTATAACCTATGTATGTACTAAAATTTACTCAAATCGTCCAGCTAAGTATATATATGAAGGAGCAATAAACATACACATTCACGCAAACTTTTGCAATTAAAATAGTAATTCGATACACAAGTCTTACCTCGTTAGTGCTTTAGGTAGCAAACAGCAAATGTTGGAAAAAAATCTATATCTATAGTTAAAACTGTTTTCTGAATAATTTTAATAAATTTTCACCACATAAAAATATATATATAAAAAACTCACAATAAGTCTCCTCACTCCTAAACAGCTCATCATGTGCTAGCAAATCCAATATTTCCGTATCATCAAGCCCTCTCCTGGAGGCTGTAAGGAGGGACAGGGCAGCCCTCACCCTCTCAGCACCAAGAGCTGCCTCTGTGGTCACCAGGATCTGTTCCAGTTGTCCCTCCAGGTCCTCGCAGATGACCAGCTCGGGAGTCGTCTCTGGTTCACATTGTTCGGCGAAGGTTTCCGCTGACAATGAGATTTGCCAAGCTAATACCTGTAATGGTGTTTTTATTACGTTATAATGATGTAGGAAATATGTTCTTTAATAATTAATGTAGATAGAAATATGGAAGTTTCTACGCTCAGACTAAATAAAATTCTCTGAGGGAACGAAACCGTAAAAGCAATTATCGTAGTAATTTTTAAATTGGACGTAGTTATGCAAAATATATCCAGCCCACAAAAACCGTTTTTTGAGTTACTGTCATAAATGGCACCTGGAATTTCAAAAAAAACCACGGTGTCTTGTTTTTTTAATATACCAATTTTACTAAAAATCCTATTTTCTCAAAAGTAAGTTTTTGTGGTTGAACTTATTTTGCATAACTACGTCCAAATATTACCTAAACTTATATATGTCTGTACTAGCATTGCCCGTGGCTCCACCCACGTTTAGATGACCAAAAACCAAATTCTTCGGTTTTACATATTAGTATACTCTTACAATGCAGTTTTATATTATTTCTCAGAAATTAGATATTTTCCCGCGGTAAAAAGTATTTTATATGTTGACCCGGATAACCAATTATCACCATACCAAATTTCATCAAAATCCCTCCAGTGGTTTTTCTGTGATACGGTAACAGACAGACAGACAAAAATTCTAAAAATTATGGATTCGGCCTTTGTATCGATAATAAAATGTACAGATTGGGCTTAGTTACAATTTTATTATATTTATAGATACGTATGTATTTAAAAGTTATATATGTGTAGTGTATCATCTATCTGGTATCCATAGCACAAGCCTCGTAGCTTACCGTGAAACTAGATGGTGCTGTGTGTTAATGTCCCAATATATTTATTTATTTTATAGGCAAATATACCTTAGCGTACAACGGCAAAGTGCACTTCTGAACGGCTTTCACAGCAGCTTCGGGTGGTGATGCGGCACCAATCTTGCTGTAGGTGGCGGCACACGCCGACAGCACCGCCTTGGCCTCCTCGGGCCCGACGGGCGGCGCGCGCACCACTTTGGGCCCGTCCTCTGATGATAACACCGCCATAATCGCTGAACTGGATGGTTCGTCTTTTTCTATACATGAAGAATATGTTTTTTTTATTAATAATAATAATATTCTTTATTCAAGTGACCAATGACTCATAATGGTTAGTAAACAATATTTCTTAAAGACTAAGTTAGTTGTATTATTACATATTTATTTTAAATAAATAAATGTTACAATAAACACGAATTTATTGGAATCCATTTATACTTTTTGTTCAGTAATTATTTTATATTAAGATATTTTGAAAAACAACTGCCTATTTTAAAATTTACTGTATCGGTCTCTAATAATACTAATCGTACTTGTCGCAGGTATATTGCATTATTCATCATTATAAAAAGTTCAATCGCTAAGTCTTTCCTTTTCTTGAATTTTCTCAGTAACCATTATTAGTATTTAGTACTCGTAGTGTTATATTTTACAATCTAAAAATTTACAATTTGCCTTTTTCAAACACGCTAAACTTTAACAGACGGCAACGGTCACCAATTAAGTGATTTGCCTTAAACATATTGTTCACGGGCTGTTTTACGAGACAATTTGGGAATTGATTATGTTCCAGATTTGACCCACAGTTACTGTGAGAGCATTTTCATCACATATATATTTAAATTTTTTAATAATTTTAATATGACCTAAGACAATCGCATTGTCGAAACGAGTCTAACAACGATGAATAATTCAACAAAGTCGGTTCAATCGTTTAGTAACTACGAGGGAAGCTCTCAATTTCTAAACAACATACCTTCAGTGACGGTAACAATCATCTTGACATTGTCCGGCAGCTTGGAGGGCAGCCAGCGCGCGCCGCGCAGCGCGTCCGCGCCCGCCACGCACAGCAGCACCGGCCGCGCGCGCCCCAGCGCCGCCAGCAGCCGCGCGAGCGCTGCTGAGAGCGCTGTCGCTTCCTGGTTCGACGGTTGACGGGTTGAAATATTGAAGGGTTGATTATTATAATATGTAACTGATTTACGATGATTAAAATATAGTTATACTAGCGACTCATTCTCGCTTCGCTCGGGCTCGTCCCTAGTGATGATGATGTTCTCCTAGCCGATTCCGGCCACGGCGGCCAATCTCATTGAGACTAGCCAACTGCGCAGGAGATATTATAGTGCACAAGTGTACGCGCAGACACAAGTGCACTCTCTATTCCTGTCACTCTCATTACTCCGGTGGGACGACTGCTCGACACGACCAGTGAGAGTTAAGGCGCAGGACCGACGGCTTTACGTGCTCTCCGAGGCACGGGGGTGAAACACCGCCAACTTCCCAACTCCGGGCCGTTACTGAGACTTACTATACAGAAAGACTCAATAACTAAACTTGGCCCGACCCGGGACTCGAACCCAGGACCTCCGAGTGTGCAGCCGTACATGCTAGCCACTACACCACCGAGGCCTACGTTTTGACAGTTAGTATGAAATACAAATCTTTGAATTTCTCGGCTTCAGTGTAGTATATATGCATATATCATACATATAAACTTTCTTCTTGAATCACTCTATTAAAAAAACTGCATCAAAATCCGTTGCGTAATTTTAAAGATCTAAACGTACATAGGGACAGTCGACAGACAGACAGCCGGAAGCGACTTTGTTTTATACTATGTAGTGATATAGTGTCTGATAGATTAAAGGTGGCTGTTTGGGGACCTCAACACTAGTCGATTAGATGTGTTCCCTAAGTATGTTCAACGAATTTTAGTAGTTCGATTTAATAAAAAAGAATTAGAAAATTCAAATTTTCTAGAATTCTATAATTTGGTTCAGCTTAATAATAAAATCTTCCAGTTCGAACTAATTCGATTTATTCTGACGAGTCCGAAATATTATAGGCTGTACTGTCTTTTAGTCTTTAATCTACATTTTATTTCAGTCATAGTCGATTTATAGTATACATATAATACATTCTATGGAGTATAAACAACAGCAGTTGGTCCAAAAATACTTAAACTTCAATTATAGTGGTGATATAATAACAACTTTTTAACTGAAAGGGTTCATCGACTTTAAAATTACTATCCCATTCTTAGGGATGGGATTTTTCAAATTTGTATGGGATTATTCATTAACGTATAAGAAAATCGAAAATCGGTAAAGATATATCCACGAACAAAGAATATATTCGATGCAGTACGATTCAGTAGGTACCTATTTCCTCACTTTTGGAAGTTACACAAAAACAAACATTACACGTACATTACGTCCTCGGTACACGGTGCCGTAGGTGAGTACGTGAACTTGGTCGACGATGGACTTCAGCAGCTGGTGCGAGCTGCTCGACTGCGGCGTCAGACCTACGAATCTAAAGGGTAATGTTTTTGTTATTATACTAGCGTTGCCCGCGTCTCCGCCTGCGTTCAGGTGACCAAAAACCAAATTCTTAGGTTAGTATACTCTTACATTGCAGTTTTTGTATTTATTCTCAGAAATGAGATATTTTCCTGCGGTAAAAAGTCACCGACACACGGTAGGTAACACACAGACAGACAAAAATTCTAAAAACTATAGATTCGGCCTCTGTATCGATAAAAAAGTCTATTTCAATAAGGTTTTCCAAAAAATATTCAATGTACAGATTCGGCTTAGTTACAATTTTATTATATGTATAGATAAATAAATATGTTGGGACATTTCCAGTTTCCAGATGTAGCAACAAATAATAAATGATGAAACATTTATTGAACATAATTTTTTATTTATTGTATTTAGTATTTAGTGCCATAAAGAGTGGTTCTAGATCATAAAATGAAAAAAAAAGAAAAATGAAAACCTCCGTTTAGTTATTTTTTCCATTATAGTGCCTGGAAGTCGTTTTTTTTTAGTTTTTATAATTCTAAATATTAAAAAAAAAATTGAAACGAAGTTTCATATGGGACGATGCGGAGGGTACTCTAGACGTCAAAAAACGTCCGTAACGAAAATGCGAGATTTTTATGTATAGTTGATGTGTGTTCGCTATACAGTGTCTAATGTATAGTCTACGTGATGACTGTTATTATTATTATAAATATATTTTTATGAATCATTGTGAATAAAATAAAAGTGTTAATATAATTTTGTTAAGTAGCTTATGATTTTTATCGATAAAAAAATCATAATAAAAAAATTATACCCGAATAATTATTTTCTTTTTACCTCGATTAGAACTTGAAATTAATATCTGGTGCCCCACGACATCACTTATAATGTTTTTTTTAATAAGTATTATATTATAATAAAATACAGTATTATTATTTATTTAATTTTAACTGTTCTTATTATAAATATTAATTAATAATATACTTTTGTACATACTACTTACCTAAGAATAAGCGCGACGTCGGGCAGCACGGCGGGCGCGAGCGCGGCGGCGCGCGCCAGCAGCGTGGCCTTGCCGCAGCCCGCGCCGCCCAGCAGCGCCAGCGGCACCGCGCTGTCGCCGCGCACGTACCTACGCACACATACATACATACATGTACATTGCACATCTATACTAATATTATAAAGAGGTAAAGTTTGTGAGTTTGTGACGTTTTAGGGGGTAATCTCTGGATCTACCTAACCGATTTAAATGAAATTTGGTAAGAACATAGTTTGAGACCCTTGGAAGGATATACACATAGGAACTAATGTTATAGTTCTTTTCGTGGTTTGAATTTACTTAAAGCAAACATGACTTTCATGGGAAATACGCTGCTGTAAATATAACTGCGCAAAACCGGAACTCGGAAAAATCATTTTTAAAACTAGCGAATTACCCTACCTTCGGTCCGGTCGTCATTTCTTCGGGCCTAATAGTAGGTAGCTTATGTGATATTCCAATTTATAGCCTACCTGTATATTACATCCAAATCCAGCTGTTTCCGTGTGGAGGTGTAACAAGCATCCACACATACATACATCAAAGTTTCGCATCTTTAAAATAATAGGCCAATATTTATATTATTTTTAATTACTCACGTTTTAAGTTCGTTCAGTGTGATCTCACGGTTGGACGTGCATTGCGTCACTTTTTGGCAAAAAGAGAGGTGTTCGCTGATTTCATCAAACAGACTGTAACATGAGAAGGTATTTATTATATACAAAAAAAAAATTGTTTTTACCAGCAGAAGTTAAAGGCTCAATTGCTTACATATTTATATTTATCTATTTTTAATAACTAGACTTGTCCCCATTAACTCAGCTAAACTAGACATTATTTTAATTATAACTAGCAGATTTTCCAATAATTAAACTTTAACCTTCCACAATAAGCAGACATAAATGCCGAAGGGTACAATATAACCAAAAAGGCCGTACCAAGTTTTTGCATCACCTAAATAGGTTAGTCACCTGTTGTGCATAACAGATTATTAACCGGAATCCCGCGGACTTCTTCTCATCGAAAGAGAATATGAGCAATCCATTATAAGACCTTACATATATAGAAACAGACCCACCTAGCAGGTATCCCGCAGAATCCCGAGGGGCTATCAGCATCAGCCACCAGCGCATCGAACAGCGCGTCCAGCCTCTCGCTGAGCGCCGTCTTCACGCTCGCCGCGTACTCCTCGTCGCCGTGACCGTTCCTACTGCGTATACTCGCGCGGATTATGTTGCGCTCGCTCAAATGTAACTGTGGGGATTTACAGATTTTTGTTAAGTTTCATCATCATGATAATAAATAATAAATAAATAAGTTGGCACATTCGCACACAGCTCCATGGTAAGCTACGAGGCTTGTGTTACGGATACTAGATAGTTGATACACTACACATATGTAACTTTAAATATATACTTATTATAAATATAAGCATCCATGACTGGAGTACAAACATTCGTGCTTATCACACAAATTAATGCCTCCAGCGGGACTCGAACCCGCGACCGCTGGCATAATAAGTAAGTCAGTTTATATTAATGTAATAAATAATAATAAATAAGCCCTGTATACCATTGCTAGGTACGGGTTTCCTTTCAACGCAAGAGAATCATGTCATAGTCCACCATGTTGGCTAAGTGCGGATTGGCGGACTACACATGTCTTCCGAAAATATAATAGTTTTTTTACATGCAGGTTGCCTCACGATATTTGTGTTTGCCGATTTAGCAAGTGGTAATCATATTGGAAATGATTCGGACATGAGAAAATCAGAAGTATGAGACCCCGATTCACTTGGTTTTGCAAGCGAGCGTGTACCCACTGGGCTACCACTGCTGCTGTTGCTACGTTACAAAACGACTAACGTATATATTTATTTAAGTAACTTTAAAGAAAGTCTAACAAAGCGATTATGGATGAAAAGAACAATTAAATAACAAATTAAACCTTCAAATCCTTCTGTAAGTTGGCCAGCCGTCGCTGCAACTCGCGGTGGTGGTCGGCGTCGGCGTCGCCCGCGTCGCAGGCGCCGGCGCGGCACACCCACACGCAGCGCCGTGCGGCTTCCGAGCTCATTAGTACTGTGTGCTGCACTTCCTGCGAGAGATGGATATTTAGTTAGTTGTATTAAGCCCTTTTTAACGTCCTACTGCTGGGCACGGGCCGCCCTTAAATACGAGGGGATCAGGCCATAGTCCACCCACTGGCTAAGTACGGGTTGACGGACTGCACATGTTTTTCGAAAACTTGTTAGGTTTTCACAGACATGCAGATTTCCTCACGATGTTTTCCTTCACCGTAAGACAAGTGGTAATCATGATGAATGATTTGCATATAAAAATATCAGAGGTGCGAGACGCGGGATTTGAACTCGCTTCACTTGGTTTCCCAAGCGAGTGCGTTACCACTGTCTTTAGTTAGTTAGTTTTGATGAAATGATGTTTAAAATAGTGGCTATACACATGAAGATATTTCAACACACTGTTGATGCACGTATATCGCGTTACGAACACATATTCAAAACGCGCGTGTTTTTTTTTCTATACGCAGGGAGAATGTACACAGTGGTGTGTATAATTGACGTGGTGGTGATAGTTTTTTTTAAACTATCAGCGTAGAATACACACAGTCGACATATATAAATCTTCTAAGAGTTTACCTGTAAGCACAACTTTTAATGCGTGCACCGTTTGACAATACTGTCTATTAACTGATCTCACTCATGATCTAGTACAACGGTACCTGTTCGAGCACAGTAGTGAGGTAGGCGTCGCAGGCCTCCTGCGGTAGCGTGCGCACGAGCACGCTCAGCGCGCGCGCCATCTCGCGGCGCCAGCGCGCCGGCGCGCCGCGCACCAGCCGGTAGCACGGCGGCGTCGTGCTGCTGTCCATGGTGTACCTGTGCCCGACATATTATGGTTTAATTGTTTAATCTATGAGGAATATATTACATGCATCTGTGTGTGTATGTGTGTGTGTTTGTGTGTGTACGTTTGTTTCCTTTTCACGCTGAAACGGTTGCACGAAATTAGAATTTAATTTATTACACAGATTTTTATTTAAAATTTCCTCGTTTCAAACGAAGAGAGGGTGAATCGCTAGTAGTATATTAATTATCAATTTAAAATAATAAAAATGTAATTTATATTTATTGTAAAAAACAATTGATACTGACACTAATGACATAAATGCAAAGTTTGTGAATCATTAACAAGAGAATTGAATTGAAGTTGGCGAATGAATGAGTACGTATTTGTATATATTTTTTTACTAATGGTTAATTTTTAAGTATAATAAAGAATGGTTCAACACGTTTGAAAGCGAGATCGCGGGCGAAGATAAGCATTAAAATAAATAGATATATTTAAATCATACCATTTGTTCAACAAGGATTTGTCGTTTTCATCCTCAGCAGCTTCCAACGCCGCTTTGAAATCCGCACACTCGAGAGTATGCGGTAAGAGAGGTGTGCCGAGATTCGCGTTCAGGAACAGAACCGGCACTATAGCTGCTAACTCACATTGACCTGAAAATAAATATTAGTCAAATAATTTGTTTGTTTTTATTATTTGTAGATAAATAATTATACATATTATATTTCAGTATTTACAATTAAATTTTATAATAATTATTATATTATTAATCAGCGACTCACTCTCGCTCTACTCGGGTTCGTCCGTCGGGTAGGTATGTTTTAACGGTTAGTATAAATTTCTCAGAAATAAGATCTTTTCCCGCAGTATAAAAGTATAAATGTTGACCCGGATAACCAGCTATCATCATACCAAATTTCATCAAAATCTGTCCAGTTCGCGATGCTTTTCCAGTCTGACAGACAAAAATTCTAAAAACTATAGATTCGGCCTCTGTATCGATAATAATGACTATTTAAATAAGATTTTCTGAAAAATATTTAATGTACAGATTTGACTCAGACCGAATTTTAATATATGTACAGATAACTAGCTGACCTGACAGACGTTGTTCTGACGCAATAAAGAGTTTATAAAAATACTGTTAAGAATAATATAATTACTAATTTTTGAATACTATGTGTATGTATGGATATATGTATGTCTGTTTGTATATGTGTATATTTGTATTATAATTAATGTTTGTAGTTTGTACCTACACCGCACCTCATTATTATTTTTATATTTTCTTGAGGGTTTCTGGTAGAGATCTCTTAAAGAGATAAGTCATCCTTTGTACACATGGTATCTGTTTTCACTTGTATGTTTTTTTTCTGGTACATAAATAAAAAAAAGAGATTTTACACTGAAAAACGTATTTGTAAATTCTTATACACTTTTTAAATTGAACTTTTTTTTCTCGTATAATAAAAGATAAATATATAATGAAACAAAACTTGTGAACAGTATACTTACGAGCCAACTCAGATATACACAGCACAGGAAAACGGTGGTCCCTCTGTTGTTCCAGCGGGGAGCGCCAATGTAAATCCGCAACGTGGACCCGCCAGCCTCTCTTGCGCGCGCGCACCCGTAGCCGCGCCGCTACGCCGCAGTGTAGCGCGCCCTTCTCCGCGCAGCAGTCTGTTTGTATGTCAGATATGTTAGTATAACTTTTTAAATTTTCAAGTTCCATAATTATATAATAACTACGGGACTTATGGCCCATTTCACCAACGTCAGCTAAGTTTAAGGGATCCCCTAAGCATAGTTAGGGGGCTGTTAGGGGACAGTTTCTGTTTCACCGACAGTTAGGGGTCATCTAAATGCTAAAATGCCACCTAAATATAGGTACTAGAAATACGGGCTCTGACGATGGTAAAACGAAATTTAATTTAGGGGCTAGTTTAGGGGAACTTTTAAGCTAGGGATCCCATACGAAGGTGGTAGCTTATGGGGTGTTGGTGAAATCGGGCAAACGCGTGAATTCGTTTGTGACTCTTATTCTAGACATGTCGACTAAGTTGCATCAGGTTGGTCACGGGCAGCCTTCAAGCGTTTTAAGTTCCGTAGTGGCCTTATCAGATGTTAGTGTTTATTTCTATGTGTATGAATATTTATATATGTACTATCTTAAGTTTTTCTTATACGTACCGTATATAATTTCATTCCATTTAATAAAAAGTTGTTTTTTTGACATTAAAAACAGACATTTTATTTATCTATATAGGTACAGTCTATTTTGCGGTATATAGATATTTGTAAGGGTTCTTTTATTGAATATTTTTTTATACCCATGCTTTTGATAGTAGCAGAGATTGTTAAATATTAATATAATTTCATTAAATAAAATTATATTAATAAATACTGATCTATTGCATATTCCAAGAACCCTTTCACATTCGACTTTCAAACTATAACCTTTTTAAATGACGATAAAAGCGGTTTATAATAAGTTAATGTTAAATTTAAAATTATGATTTCTAAAATTTTATAAAAATAAAATATAAAATCAATGAAAATTTACAACTTTCAGGAACACTTAAAAAATGATTTATTAAAAAGCAAGATCAAAATTTTATTTACCAGCTGAACTTTAATAAGAAAAATCTCAAGACAAATCTCATCAACCACATACCCTGTGAGTCCGCAGCACAAACATATATAACCATTGCGCGTCGTCTCCTGGTCCTCTGTCCGGGCAGCCTGCCGAGGAGGTAGGATCTGTGCTCTTCAGGCAATGCGGCAACATTTGCCGGCATCGGGGGACCCACAACATCTTCCCGAGGGGACGCGCACGCTACCGGTGAAGAAAGGGAGATCGAATCTGGAAGATGGAGGTATTTCATCAAGAGTTGTTATGGGGTTATTAGGTACATCGATGATAAAGTACTAGATACACAATCCCATGCAAAAGTTCTCTTAAAACTGTCACCAATTGTGTTTAGGTAATTATTATAATAGTTGAAATATACAACAATGTAAATTAAACGTTAAATGCAATTCTTAAAGTAATAAATAAATTAATTAAAAGCGCGCTCAACGGTTCAAATGAGCACTCATTCGGTGAGGACATTTTTGTCGCTGTCGATTTCAACGATATTTAGTATATAGACACTGTGACCTGGAGTAACACATAAGCCGCTGTTAGGCACCCAGGGTAGATACACCTAGTTAATAATAAAATGACCAATATATTTCTCATAACAAATAAAGCAAACTCACCAGAAACACTAGATCCCACCGGTGGGCGTGGGCCTTTTAGCTGTGGTTTCTTATCTTTAAACGATGGTCCCGGTTCCAGCAACTCCTGCGCAGGTTGCTGCGCGCTCGCGTCGATGGACGGCTTCGTGACGCGGTACGAAGGCGACCTGCGGGCGCAGCAGTTAGGCCTACTCTATATTAATATGCCAATTGAAATATTAACACTCCTTAATCCTATTATTGTATGTATGTTATCAATATGTATTCAGCCCTTTTTTACTATTTTCTATTATTTTTTGGGATTGTAAAATTTTTTGGATGTTGAAATTATGCTTTCGCTTTGTCCAAGTAAAATTTATTCAAAATAATAAAATTGTAACAGTCGAATCTGTCCATTAAATATTTTTTTGGAAAATCTTATTGAAATAGTAATTATTATCGATACAGAGGCCAAATCTATAGTTTTTAGAATTTTTGTCTGTCTGTCTGTGACCGCATCACGAGAAAACCACTGGACAGATTTTGATAAAATTTGGCATGATGATAGCTGGTTATCTGGATCAACATAGAGGATACTTTTTACGACGGGAAAATATCTCAACTCTGGAGATTCTATACTAAACGTTATAACGTAACAGTAAAAGTTTATATAAATAAAAGCATAAATGTTTGTTTGCACATAATGGCAAATCACCTAACGAAATCATCGTCAGAAATTAGTCGTCGATGGTTAGTCAAGTGCCTACCGTAATGCTGCTATTCGGTAAGACTGATATATGTATGTTAAAAATCCTCGTACACATGAACGAAGCCTCAAGAGAAAGCTTATATACATACATACATATATTAATGAATGTGCGTGCTACGTAGCATCTACGCGTGCTCTACGCCGTAGTACAGATTTCATTTCTCGCACACATTACGTAGAAATTTGCATTTACATACAAAATATGTAGTATTATCTATACATATAATAAAATTGTAACTAAGCCGAATCTGTACATATTTTTTGGAAAATCTTATTGAAATAAACATTATTAGTGAGAGAGATACAGAGGCCGAATCTATAGTTTTTGAATTTTTGTCTGTCTGTCTCTTACCGCATCAAGAAAAAACCACTAGACGGATTTTGATATAATTTGGTATGATGATAGCTGGTTATCCGGGTCAACATATAGGATACTTTTTACCGCGGGAAAATATCTCATTTCTGAGAAAAAATACAAAAACTGCATTGTAAGAGTATACTTACGAGTATATGTAAAACCTAAGAATTTGGTTTTTGGTCATCTGAACGCGGGCTGAGCCGCGGGCAATGCTAGTTTATTATATAGCTTGAACATTTTAAATAGATTTCTAAGAAAGTATTCTATAGCTTGAAATTTACTTTCATAATTATTTTCTTACATCTACACACAATAAAGTAGTAACGAAATGAAAATGAAATTATATCATAGACGTAGGTACAACAATACACCACGACCGGATAGATATCAATGAAAACTTTTTTATTACTTGAATAATTTAAATCAGTTGAATAGATATAAGGTTCTCTCGCTATTACTCCTCGTTTCGCTTGAATGCGACATGGGTGCCTACGAGCTATGTCATAGTTTGTGTACTAAATTGACGACATGTTTGGCTCAGTTTGTTGTGTACCCTACTTGCTGTGTGGTCGCGGGTTCGAGTCCCTCTGGGGTATTCATTTGTGTGATGAGCGAGAATGTTTGTACTCCAGTCATGGGTATTTGTATTTATAATATGTATGTATTTAATGTTATGTATGTGTAGTGTATCAACTATCTGGTATTCATAACAGAGGCCTCGTAGCTTACCATAGAACTAGATGGTGCCGTGCGTTAATGTCCCAACATATTTATTTATTTTATCTAAATCCATCCAGCCGTTTTAGAGTTTTTATAATAATAATGTAAAGATAATGAAAGGTGAAAGAAAACATATCGAACTACAGCTAAGAACCATTCAGGTAACAAAAGTACGCAAAATAAATTATCAAAATCGGTCAATCCAATTTCATATATAAAGATAATATCAACTAAATCGTGAAAACAAAGCGATCACATCAGTTTTGTTATCCTACGACTATCAAACAGCACTCCAATCAGCGACGTTACACGTTGAGTTAGCAGTGTAAATATTTGCCTTTAATACCAAGTGATTGAGACTTGACGATATACGTTGAACCAACTGAGTCGTGTAATATAAAATTCTAATATAGGTACTTATCATTATTACTTTAATAAATGCTAATTGCTAGACGGATTTGGATGTAATTTAGTACACAGATAGTTTTTGCAAAAAGGTTTTATCTGTATTAATATTATAAATATAAAAGGTATCTAGGGACAGCAAAGAAAAGTTAAATCGCTAATAATGTCATATACATCTATACATATAATAAAATTGTAACTAAGTCGAATCTGTACATTAAATATTTCCTGGAAAATCTAATTGAAATAGACATTATTATCGATACTGAGGCCGAATCTATAGTTTTTAGAATTATTGTCTGTCTGTGTGTCTGTCTGTTACCGCATCACGGTAAAACCACTGGAGGAATTTTCATTAAATTTGGTATGGTGATAGTTGGTTATCCGGGTCAACATATAGGATACTTTTTACGGAAGGAAAATATCTCATTTCTGAGAAAAAATACAAAAACTGCATTATAAGAGTATACTAATATGTAAAACCTAAGAATTTGGTTTATTAATATTGGTTTGCTAGTATTATATACATTTAATCTATATAAACAAAAGTGTATGGCTAAATGTGTAGCTAAGTGTAAAACTCGAGAACGGCTTTTGAACTTATGAAGAGAAAAATTGAAAAAAAAAACAAAGAAAAACGTAAAAATCACATTTTTCTTTTTAATTACTACTACTTGATAATTATGGTCGCAATTTGAAAATTAGTATAAAATACTTGAATGCCTTTGTAGATTTGACACTTTATTTTTCTACGATTTACAGTTTGATTTTGACTTCGTTTGTTTGTCCTTCTTTCACGTCGAAACAGAGAGACGGATTGGCGTGATTATGTGGAGGTAGTTGGAGGGCTGGAGAATGACATAGGCTACTTTCTACCTTGGGAGATCTCATTCCTACAGGAAAACACGTTATAATACAACCCAAAACAACTCATTGTACCTATGTCTTCTCAACGTACTCGTAGTAGTCGCTAGTAGTAAATAAAAATTCTTTTATTTCATACTTTTCACAAGAATGATGATGATGTTCTCCTAGCCGATTCCGGCCACGGCGGCCAATCTCAATGAGATTAGCCAACTGCGCAGGAGATATTATAGTGCTCAAGTGTACGCGCAGACACAAGTGCACTCTCTATTCCTATCACTCTCATACTCCGGTGGGACGACCACTCGACACGACCGGTGAGAGTTAAGGCGCAGGACCGACGGCTTTACGTGCTCTCCGAGGCACGGGGGTGAAACACCGCCAACTTCCCAACTCCGGGCTGTTACTGAGACTTACTATACAGGAAGACTCAATAACTAAACTTGGCCCGACCCGGGACTCGAACCCAGGACCTCCGGGTGTGCTGCCGTACATGCTAGCCACTACACCACCGAGGCAGTTAAAACACACAAGAATATTGAAATAAACAATGTATGTATGTATTTAGCCCTTTTTTAACGTCCCACTGCTGGGCCGGGCCTCCCTTCAATACGAGGGGGATCAGGCCATAGTCCACCACGCTGGCCAAGTGGGGGTTGTCGGACTTCACATATCTTTCGAAAACTTGCTAGGTTCTCTCTGACATGCAGGTTTTCTATCATGTTAGAAATGATTCGCACATGAAAATATCAGAGGTGCGAGACCTGGGATTTTTACCCACTGCACTCGGTTTCCCAAGCGAGCGCGTTACCACTGAGCTACCACTGCCTTAAATAAATAATAGTATTTCAAAATAGAAAGAAAGAATTAATATACTTGTTATTAATTTAACTTTTGTGGTCTAGTTTATGTGTCTAGCAAAACAATGGTAATATTAAATTATTATTATTAATAAAGAATAAATTCAAGGTAAATATTTAGGTAACGAAATCATTGACAAACTTGTGTATAAACAACAATATAAATAAACATACAAGTATATTAAATGTATTGAGTTACAAAAACTCTTTTTATTGCTTTAGGACGCCGTAGGTCTAAAGAAATGTTAAACGGGTAAGGCTCTCCGTCCACTGACCGAGCTAAACATTGACTAATACGACTTTGATTTTTGTAACTAGCAAGAATTGATATATTTTTAAATTACATTTATAAATGATTATTATCAAATATTATCATATCGAAGGGGCAGTATAGATAGCGTGAAGTCTTTATAATTTTTTTTATAAAATTTTGATTGTTATTTGTTGTTGTGAATGTTTTTGTTAAAAAATTTGTTTTTATTAAACTTATAGGTTTAGTAAATGTATGTTTATTTCATATAACCGGAATCCCCATCTCTATGTAAGAAAAAAATACAGCTGTCCGTTATTGCGTAGAAAGGACAAACTCATAACCATATCTCTGTACCTCTAAATAGTATATATAATTCATATGTATGTATATATTTATGTATATATGTATAGCTAGGCTTACTTCTTCGAAACCTCGCAAAAGAATTTTAGTAGATTTTCACTCTCATTTATAGTTTGTCCATTTTTAACCGACTTCCAATTCCAAAAAGGAGGTCGGATTGGCTGGCTGGCTGATGCAAAGCAAATGTAATATATTTCAATACGTAAAATATATATTTACCTATTAGATGTTCATATCTTAAAATATTGTCGGCTGGCACCGACTTCGAAAATATCTGATTAGGTATCTTTTCTAAATGAAAACCTCCGTTTAGTTATTTTTTACATTTTAGTGCCTAGAAGTAGAAGAAAATTAACAAAAACTAATAACTACTTATTGGAAAATAATATGAGAAAAATAACTTTAAAAAAGAGTAAAAAATTATGAAAACCAAGCACGTTTAATGAGTACAGATCGTATTCACATACACTATCCAACCTCGCGGTATTTTGTGACTACCCGCCAAAAATACTGAAAAGTATTCAGATAATAAAATCAAGTAGGTAATGGTTTAAAAAATTTTGCTAAGTGTAAATTGATTATATAACTCAATATTTTACATAAATCAAACAAAAATTCGTAAATGTATGTATAAACTGAAAGTCTCATATTTCTATTTTAAAATCTTAGTAATTTGACGACAATTTTCACTTTTAATACGCATAACTCATAACTAAATTATTTAGCAATAATCTGTTATGTCCTGAAAGCGGTGTAAAAAAACAGAAATTGACAGTTTTGTCAAAACTTAAGATTATTTTGTTTAGGTTATTGTTTTTAATGAAATTATCAAAACATATATACAATAAAGCCTTATTTGTTATAAAAAAAATATGGATTTTACACGAAAAAGGATGTTTATTGTTCGTTAAAGGTATGTTTATCTTTTATAATGACTTATTTAGGTATAGAAATGTATAGAAATGTTCTAACTTTAAATCCCAATAACTTTATACGCCTTCGTATCCTCAAAATATTTTTTATACATTTGAACTCCCTATCACCTCCTCTATCCAAAAATACTACTCACTTCTCCAGGAGCCGCGTCCCATATACTAAACTTGTGCTCATATTTGTAGAAAATAAAGAAGTCTTGTCAAGCAAAGCGAGTGCGGGTCGTGATATTATAAATACATATATTATTTTATGGCATGCCTCCAGTTTCTAATAAACTCTATAATATAGATTACATACTCGTAAATTAATAAGAAATTATACAAACTTGAAGAAATTATAAAAAAAATATATAGTTTATATATAGCATTCGAGTCACAGTGATGAAAAGACCTAAGCAAAGCGAGAGCGGATGTTAAATGAATAAGATTAAGTTTATATTTTTATTTATTAAAGTTGAAAAGAAAAAGTCTATAAACTCATAATGAAACTAGTTTCTGTAATAAAAGCTTTGTTGACGATTTAATATAGAAGACTTCTTCTGTAACTTGAGAAAGACAAGTTTTCTTCTATGGCTAGTTACGAAATAGCTGTCTCGATGGTCTAGTGGCTATCGTATACGTTGCAAATCTGGAAGTCCTAAGTTCGTGTCCCGGATCGGGCCAAGTTCAGTTATTATTGTTGAATATTTCTGTTAAGAAATTCTCAGTAACAGCTTGGAGTTGGAAAGTTAGTAGTATTTCATCCCCGTGCCTCGGAGAGCACGTAAAGACGTCGTCGGTCTATACTAATATTATAAATAGGTAAAGTTTGTGAGTTTGTGAATTGTGAGTTTGTGACGTTGTAGGGGGTAATCTCTGGATCTACTGAATCGATTTAGATGAAATTTGGTAAGAAGATAGGTTGAGATCCTAGGAAGGACATAGGATACGTATCGTAGTAGTATCGCTTAGCATACACAAAAAAACAAACAATCATTGTATACGTCCTTCATTTTTACATCGATAGTTAAAAAGCTTGGCTTACAAAGTATCGTATAAAGGCTAATAGCTAAATAAAATCAACTATGGAATAAATATTTATAGTGAAACGCATGCAACCTGACGTTGTTATTTTATTATAAAACGGAAGTAGAAAGCATAGAAATTGTAGGTAGATACCTTTTAAAGAAAATTGAATTGTATTCTCTTTCAGCCCTGAAGTATTAGTTTCCATCGACAATAGCTAAGAGCTCTATAAATAAGCTATTATTTTACTAAGAAAAAGAACCAATTTCCTCTTTGTTAGGGATGCATTTAGACTTTCTAACGTCATGAGTCATGACTAATATAATAATATCATGTGAGGGATTTCCCGCAGTAAAAAGTATCCTATAATATGTTGATCCGGATAACCTGTTATCATCATACCAAATTTCATCAAAATCTGCCCTGTGGTTTTCTCGTGATGCGTTACCAGATAGAAAGACAGACAGACAAAAAATCTAAAAACTATACATTAGTCCTCTGTATCGATAATAATGACTATTTCAATAAGATTTTCCAAAAAATATTTAATGTACAGATTCGACTCAGAATTTATTTGTATAGATTATTACCATATTATACTACCGAAGCGCTTCTTACATTTTAAGCCCCATAATAAAAACCGGTGATAGTATAAAATATTGTCCTTTCACGACCGTGGACACGCCGGCGTTACAGTTAACAAAAGATTTATCAGAAATTTAATTAATTTCTTAGAAATTTACCTGGAGGTGTTAAGACCAAATTTATAGAAAATTCTCTATTATTTCTATGCTCTTTAACTTTTTATTTATTTATTAATCTTCATTGCACACAATATAAGGACAGAAAGTAGGTACAGGTATTAGATGAAGTACATTATGCATACAAAGACAAATAGATACTTTTATAACATAAGACTTCAAATCTCATTTTGAATGAAGAAAACGAGATATTTACCAAAAATGATTTTCGCGAAGTTTGGCCTTTGAATTTCTGACGTGAGCACCAGATTATAAAGACACTTGACAACGGCAACAGACAAAATAATAAAAAAATAGTATACTATAATTTATATTTAATTTTCATATTTCTAGTGCAGTCCACTGGCTCTGACTTAGACTGTGTATTATTTTCTAGTGCTTAGTACTAAAGCTTTATTAATAAAGCATTTAAGCAAATTTTAAAGCATTGCAAAGTTTTATTCTAAATGTTTTAGTATTTCTAAGATTTAGATAAGATACAGCCACACTATGAATATAAAGCAGGGGTTCTAGTTACCTTCTCCAATTTATTTGATTGATAGTTACAAACTAAATTGAAATACGTGCGTCTGACCCAGCATATGCATTGCTTAAGTCTAATACATAAGTCTGAGAGCGGCTTTATTTTTGTTTGTAACTTTAGTAAATAATAGACGATCATAGTTCTTTGTTTGTATGGAAGCAGCAAGAAAGGTCTATCGTTTCGTGATATCTCGAAATTCCCCCCACCTCACCGTCTTTTGCTCAAGATGCTTGCTGATCTCTAAAATAAATTAAACTTTGTAAATTCAGCACGCAGCTAACACCAGTACGAAAGCTAAGGTGTAAAATCTTTTTTTCACCTTTTGATCTAACACTAATGTAATTTATATAAACATAAAAAATCAGTGGTGGCCCAGTGGTAACGCGTTTGCTTGGGAAACCGAGTGAAGCGCGTTTCAAATACCGGGTCTCGCTCTTTTGAAATTATTATGTGCGAATCATTTTTGACATAATTATCACATACTTTACGGTAAAGAATTTTCCTTTCGTGAGAGAGCCTGCATGTTTGAGATAAACTTTTGAATTTTCTAAAGACATTTGGATTCCAACAACCCACACTTGGACAACATAGCCAAAGACGTTAGAAAGGGCTGAATACAAAAAATGCCAAATGATAAGTATATACAAGTTCATAGCTTAATAGTTTTTGGACGCGATTTTGTTCGCGTGATAAGTGAGGTGGAGATCAAAGGATCCTATATCCATCCCCAGGATACAATCTATGCCCTTGACAAATTTTATCGAAATCTGTTCTGCGGATTGAGCGTGAAAAGATAAC